TTCTATTGACCGCCAGAAACTGTATAATATTCTAATCGAGCAGGGAATTCCAAAAAAACTAGTAAATCTAGTCAGGATGTGCTTGACGGAGACAGTCAATAAAGTTAGAATCGGTAATAATTTGTCCGAAAAATTTGAGGTTCGTTCGGGCTTAAAACAGGGGGATTCTCTTTCGCCTGTCCTGTTCAATTTGGCATTAGAACATGCCATTAGGGAGGTAATGCGAACCGAGAAAGGGTTGGATCTGGGCGGGACAACATCCGTGCTGGGCTATGCTGATGATCTGGTACTGTTAAGCGAAGACGTTGAAACTATAAAACTAAATACGACAACGTTAATGAAAGCCGGTAAAGAACTAGGACTCGAAATAAACGTGGATAAAACAAAATATATGGTTAGCTGCAAAAATGGCGATACTACTGGTGATATCGATATAGATGGTAATATGTTTGAACAGGTAGATAAATTTAGGTATCTAGGTTCTACGATAACTAGAAAAAACGAAATTGAAGAAGAGATTAAGGTTAGACTGAAGGCGGGGAATGCTTGTTATTTTTCTGTGACAAAACTACTTAGTTCGCGCCTCTTGTCCCGAAACTTAAAAATTAGAATCTATAAAACAATTATCTTGCCTACAGTTCTTTATGGATGCGAAACTTGGCCGCTTACATTAAGGGATGAGCAGCGTCTTAAGGTTTTTGAAAATAAAGTATTGCGTAGAATATTCGGACCGAAGAAGGATGAGTTAACCGGAGAGTTCAGACGGTTACACAACGCCGAATTGCGTGAGCTGTATCCGGGTAATATAATTGAGGTAATTTCATCGCGGCGAATCAAATGGGCTTGTAAAGTTGTTGGGCTTAGTAACGAGAGAATTCCTAAAAGGTTAATATTTGCTGTGCCGAATGGTAAGCGTCCGAGGGGTAGACCGAAGCGAAGGTGGGAAGATTGCATTAAAGCTGATCTGAAGGGACTGGGTTTGGACGGCGAACGGTGGAGGGAGGTGTGTAACAAGCGATTGGTGGTGTCGGCATCGAACCTTCGGGTTCGCCTGTAATGCTAATTATCTTTCAATTATTCCTTTATTAAATAAAATACGTTTGAGAACATTATTTTATAAATTAGCACAAAAATTATTTTTTCTTATGTGTAAATAAAACGATCGCAACTATTCAGTAGTTAGTTAAAAATGACTTACTACAGAGTTATTATGAGACGTGCTTTATTAAACCTTTTGTATTTATGAACGTTACTTTGACGATTTGTGACACGGATTTGAAATTTGTCAAGATCGCAATAGTTTCCTTTTCTATATATTTCTGATATGGGTAAGAGAAAGAGTTAAATACAATTTCCATTTTTGTATTCAGCTGCTAAACTGGTCTCATGGGTAAGCACCTTAAAGTTCCAATATAATTGACTAGGCAATGTTTGGATAAAGCTTCGCCCATTTATCTGGCTTAATAGCTCGTTATCAAGTGGTTGCTCCAAACGGCAATTAATCCAAAGTGGATCTCTGTTTGTGTTTGTCATTGTTTTCGACAATTACGTTGTCGCTGTGGATATCGCTCGATACATTCCTAATTAGCCGAATGTTTGTTCTAAACATTTGTCTCATTTGTCATTCAGGATATTATTTCATTTATGTTTCTAGTTAAATCTTATCGCATAATCTTCTTTCTGATTTTTTTTTCATAAAAAAAGTTTACCGAATAAATCGCTCAATTTAAATTAAAACGACTGGAAGGAACTTTATGTCTATAAAGATGTTAATCAACTACAACATCAGATTTTGCAGCAGTGAGGTTACGATTGTTGTTATTAATTTCGTATCTCTTCGTGCATCATTTCTCAGTTGACATGGACCGAAGGGTCGAAACCAATTTACGTTAAAATAAGGCCGAATTTGGGAAGTAGTAAATTTCAGTCGAAAATTTTTAATTTAAGTAAAAAAATCTTCGTCTATGATTTATTGTTGTTTTGCCTTTGATACAGTCAATATAATAGGTTAATGTTATAATAATTATTTCTAAATATATTGCTTAAAATATTATTATAACATGTTGAAAATGCTTGACTTTTACTGAAGAAAGGGACAGGGCGACAAGAAAGATTGAAGAAGATCATTGGCAAAATCCTAGTTTCGGCTCTGGTTTATAATAAATATATACAAAACCGGTGACAGCTTAAAACAGGTAAAAATGACACACGTGTCGTTCCAGAAATATGGCTTACAATTCTGATTTTAATCCGTTAAACAACTGTGTAAAAAATTCTCGATCAAATCGTTTGGAAGCCATCGTTGTGATTCGCTTGTGTCCATTTTCTATCTTAAAATATAATTTATTCGACGCTACAGTTGACTCGTGCTTAACCATTTACTGCCAGGAGTGTGTAAAACGATTCCATAGTTGTGCAGAAGTTTAATATGTAAGTCAAATGTACCAGTAATAGACAGTATTCAACTTATTAACAGAGAATAATCTTTATAAACCAAAAAGAGTGGATTTGCAGTTAAAAAATTTAAGGAGGTGATGCCTAAACCTCAAGTGATATCATCTCACAATAGCTGATTTTTTTTTTTTAGGCTGAGCTTTGTTTCAAGGAGGTTTCCATATTAGTTTTCTTTAGGAAACCAGTTTGAAATTCGCATTCATTTATGTTTCATTCTGTGGTTTGCTATTTAAAACTGTGGAGAATTTATTTTGTGTTTTTTAATTACATAAAAAAAACCTATTCACCCCTGTCTGAGTGTTTATTACTGATGCCAAATCCGCTGTCAGAATTTCTCAAGTTTTTCATGAACAATTAACGAAGATCGAGCCACCTCCAATGTTTGAATATCTTACTGGAGACATTAAACCAATTACCACCAAATCCCGCAAACATTCGGAGGAAGAGTTCATGAAGAAGGAGATTGAAAAACTTCTGGCGAACAAAATAATTAAAGAAAGTGAGGTATCCATGGATAGCGCAAGCATTTGTAGTTAAAAGAGGAAATCATAGAAAGAAAATGCTGGTCGATTAATCTCACAAACAATTAATCGATATACACTCTTAGATGCTTGCCCTCTACCGGATATTGAGCTGACCATGGGCTAGGACATCGAAAAATTCTTGGTTTAGTAGCATTGATTTCGACAGTGCATACCACCGATTCCTCTTAGAGAGCAATATCTCGATTATGTAATAGTTTGTGAAGCAAACAAAGAAGAACATGATAATAATTCAAAACGATTTATTGATGCAGTAAAAACAAAATCTGGTGTGTCCACTCACACGCCTTTCCTCCCTATTTCAGAAAAGTTTTAATATCTTTACATATGTTCATGAACACACAAAAAAGAATTGAACTGATTTTATTTTCCTGAAAATTGGATCAAACATAAGATTTGAGTACGATTTATTTGATTAAACTAAAGCAATGAAACCGACTTAAGGTAGATCAGTGTAAAAATTTCAATACTCGCTAATATTGCTAATCAAAAACTTTATGCCATAGCTTTGTATTGTCAAAAAATAATTTCTGTTAAAAGTAGAGGAAATAGTGAAGGTTGCGTGATGCGGGCAGATTTTCATACTTTCACTTAGTCATCTTTATTCTCTCATTCTGAGACCAGGAAAAGGACTCGTAATCTTTCATTAGAATAGCTGTAACTTCGTTAATAGTTGTCCAAAATGTGTTTTTCGGGCTCAGGGGACAGTGAAACGTATAGATCCGTCGAAAACCGCATGTCGGAATTTTGACCCGATTGCAATACTTTCCTTACCTAGTATAGGTAGGAAAGTAAAAATACGGATTCACCATAAATCATGAGAAAACCAACTTTTCTCAAACTTCTATTAGTCTTCTTGGCTAGAGAATAAGAATATTTCACCTGACCCAGACCGTTTGGAAGGACTCTTTAACCTCCCTTCTCCAAATAATAACAACTTCAAAGGACGAATGGAGTATTCGTTCACTATTCAAGATGGATTCCAAATTATTCAGAAAAAGTTCGAAATTTGGGAAATTCTAGAATTCTTCCTTTAACACTTGAGGTTGTTTCACAATTCGAACTTCTGAAAAATAAGACTTAATGGCGTCTGGAGTTATCATGCTACAATTATGATATAATATAGCGACCGGGAAAAGATAATTTTGTTGCAGACGCCTTCTCAAGAATATGTGACTTGATTCAACCTAACAAACTATATTCTCGGCATTGTTATTTGTGTCATCCTGATGTGACTCGAATAATTCACTGGGTAAGAACGCATAATCAACCGTTTTCAGTTAAATAGATCCGAAAAATGATCTCATCTTGTCCTACATGCAATTCGATAAAGCCAAGATTTTATAAGATGGCCAATTCTAAGCTCATAAAGGCTACTCATCCTTTTGAAATAATTAGTATGGATTTTATTGGCCCTCTTCCCTCAAAAACTAAAAACAAGTACCTCCTGACCATGATTGATGAGTTTTCACGGTTTCCATTTGCTTAACCTTGCCCTGACATGAATTTTCAAGTTATAGACTGCCTCGTTGATCTATTCTCAATTTTCGAAACCTCCCTATAAATTCATACTGACAGAGGGACTTCATTTACTTCTCGAGAACTCCAAAATTTCCTGCATTCACGGGGTATAGCGACTTCTATGTCTTCGCCATATAATCCATCAGGGAACAGCCCGATAGAACATGAGAATGGCACGATCTGGCGGAAGATTTCACTGGCTCTTAAATAAATAATCTTGATTCATCTCATTGGGAGTCCGTACTTCCAGACTCTTTGCATTCCATTGTGATAGCGACCAATGAGACGCCCCATGAGAGAATATTCAAACACAACCGAAGATCAACCAATGGTTGTTCTCTACTCTCCTGGCAAATACCTTCATCTAAACTGTTGATAAAGAAGCAGGTAAGGTTAAGCAAATGTGATCTCTTGTTGTAGAAGGTGCATCTGATAGATGTCAATCCGCAATACGCCAGGGTTCAAACTGATGATGGCCGACAGATGACAGTCTCTTTAAAGCACTTGGCACCGAGCGATGATTCTTCCAATCACTCATCACTGGGCGACAGCACTTCCATTCACTTGATACCATGTGATAACTCTTCTCCGAATGAATACTCGCAAGTTTCACCGCAAGAAGTTCACCACCCAAGCGAACTACTTATGTAAGAACGTGAAAAAAGTTGGATACAAAACAACCAATACGCCGTTCAACAAGGGAGTGTCGCATGCCCGACCGGCCAAAGGATTATATTCTTTATTCCGGAAGGGAGAAAGAATGTGATACCATGTGTTATAACCTATACATAACCTATTTAGTTAGTAATGTTATCTATTGTTACAGACTCTTATGAGTACCATTTTGTACTATGTATTGTGCAAAATTAAAATGAATAAAGCCTTATATTAATTCTAAAGGTGTTTATTACATTCTCTATTTATAAAAAAAAAAATTAAACCCCAGAACTAGAGCTGTGGTTAACATTAACATTAAGAAGAAGAAGAAGAATGTTTTTTTAATTGATTTTTATTTATTCTTGGTGCTACAGTTCTACAAGAGCCCAGGCCTCTCCAATAATTTTGCTTTACTCTCCTCTTTCTAGGGCAAGCATTATCCATCTCCGGATTCCCATCGTTTTCACGATGTCCTCCACCTCGTCCTGCCATGTAAGGCTTGGTCTTCCTCTGCCATGTCTTCCACCAAGCCGATCCTCCATCAGGTGTTTGAGAATTGAATCTCTCGACATGAAGGACAATAGTCAGAGAGCTCCATGTTAGGAATATCAGAGTTGGTGAAGGATATATCATTTTAATATTTTTTAGTTTTCAACTAAAATTGATTAAGGCGTTAATCTTCATCGGATTTAAAAAAAAAATCTATATATTAAAATAGAAGTTTTTGTTCGTTTGTGCATTTGAGCATCAAAATGCTCCTTTGCACTGTGTGGAGAGGCTTACCAGCGCGCCAGTAAGTCAAAGATATTTGTTGTACAGGCGTGGTGCGCGGTGCCTCGCTGACTTCTCCAGTAACTGGCGTGAAGTGTTTACACGCTGCCAGATAAAGGCACCCAGTGACTGGTGACATCGGCTGTCGCACCAACTGGCAGCATATAAATGAACCTTGACACAACTAGAACCCATCCTACTCGTGTTGGCTTCATCAGTCTTTTTTTTTATTTTGAAGTTTACTAACTCGCAACTAATAAACTCTCTCAAGCTCGTTTCACACTTTTAAGGTTTATTGCGGTTCGGTTTTAATAAGGTAACGATCAATGCGATAGAATTAAGACAGTATAAATAAGAATCGGATTCAATCCGTATTGTACCTGACACCCCCTTCAACCCGGTTGGTGCAGTGTGGTTCTTCATTGTCCGAATCGAGCTCAATGGATACAAAATACGTTCTGCTTTAGGCGATTCTGTTACTGTTCGAGCGTTGGTACATGTTTATTGTTCTAAGTACTATTATTATTGTTAGTATTTTTCCTGAAAATAGTAGACTACTGCCGTTGGCAAAGTATTTGTTCGGAGGCAGTAAGAGCGTTTAAAGGAAATCAGAGTTAATTCCGGAAGGGAGAAAGAATGTGATACCATGTGTTATCACAGGAAGGTCACACGAGGAAGGTTCTAGCCTTGTCCATCTATGTCTATTTTGGGGTATAACTTTCCAGTTTATTGCAAGCAGCTCTAAGCAGCTGTTTTGTTGAATCTATCTATATATTATTTCGGTTTGAAGGAAACAAGTGAATTTTTCTTATTTGCCCACAGTCACTACCTTAAGTTAATTCAATAATTTTATCAAAAATTGTTTATAATTTATGTACTTACAGGTGTATTTTAGCCACTGATATGGCTCGGCATAATGAAATATTAAGTCAGTTCAAAGATGCCATGATCAGTGGATTCGATTTTAACAACAGGACACACATTAATTTGGTATGTAATAATTATTTTAACGATGTTTCAAAATCTTTTTTTTTTTATTTAAGATGATTGATTATGATATTTTGTTTTTAGTTATGTATGGTTTTAATAAAAGTAGCAGACATTTCTAATGAAGCCAGACCCATGGATGTTGCTGAACCCTGGTTGGACAGATTACTTCAGGTTAGCATTCAATTAGTTGTTATTATCATTATGTTTTTGTTATTATGTGCTAATGTAGGTATGCTTGTTTCTGACCAATTTTCAGTGCTAAGATTTTCCTTGTGTTGTATTCAATTTTATGTGACAAATATTTGTTCCAAAAGGACCCTATTACTTTTCATGGTCTTGCGAGGCACTATAAACTTCATTAACCCTAATTACAATTATTAGAAGCTCGACCTACGTAATATTGAATTAACGATTTCATAATCCCCCCTCCTCAAAACTTGAGCCAAAGAAAATTTGTATTATTAGCACTTCTTATTAACGTTTTACTCTATCTGAAGTCCATCATAATCGCTTCCTAACTGCAATTTAGAGTTCCTATTTATTTAGAGTTCCTTTTTTTTTCCTTATCTATGCAGTTAGTAAATATTTACCCTCTTAAAAAATCCATAACCCCTAAAATGTGCTCCCTCAAAACTTTTGATGGTGTCTCTTGTGCCATACAGCGCCCTTCTTGCTTCCTCGCTAGATTACATTGTGAATTTTCCGCTCAAATGTTTTTTCGAACCAGGCAGAAAAAACATTCTTCGGTCTCCCTTTTCTCTCGAAGCCTCGATAAGACTGGACGTTGTCAAGGGCGGCTCTATGGGGGGAGGAGGGCTTTGGGGGTGAATCCTCTCCCAAAATGGTAAAATATAACCATATTTTATGGAAAAAATATTAAAAAATTATCTCTTAAAGTATTATTGTTCGTGTAATTATATTTAAAAGGACTTTAGAAATCACTTAAACACCATTTCATATAAGTAGTTAGTTTCTTTCTTTTTTTCCAAAGTAATTATCGTTATTTTTATGAAAAAAAAGCTTTCGGGCTGAAGCCCTCCTCCCAAAAATTAAATCCTGCATCCGCTAGTGGTCTTCCCTACCTCGCCTTTTAGGCTATACAGGATTTTCCTGCGCCGGAGGGTGAGGGCGGGGAATTTAAAATTCCCTCCGACACCGAGATGCGAACTCATACTTTATTAATCTTCTCAAATCTGTTATCCGGTTGCCAGGCAAACTCGCGGTGCAGTGCACACGCTTAGCCCATTCGGCCAACCCGCCCCTCCGTCGTTGTTATCCTTTGTTATCAGGTCTAAAAAATATGCTTCAACTATGACATATTTCACAAAAAAAAAATATATATTATTTTCTGAACATTTTTCCAAAACTCATTAATTTTATGTGTAGATAAGGCTACATCGTCTTTCAAATATGTATAAGTTTTATTATATAATTCGCTTCCATAAGATTTTTAAAAAAATGAGCCTAGAACTTTTGTTTTCATTTTCTGAAATAATTAAAAAAACAATACTTAGCGCAAAGCTGCGGGAAATTTGATGATTATTTCTCGAAAAAAAAACATAAAAAATGCTACAAAATGAAGGAAAAAAAATTGCAGCGGCCGGATACCGAGAAGAATATTTTATAGATTGTATAAGTATTATTTAGGTATTTCAAGGGTTCGATGATAGCCATTATTAAATTCAATTGTAACGGACATTAAACTGATTGAACCCACAGGCGATTGGGGGGGAGGGGAGGCTTTCGGACTGAACCCCTCCCCAAAAATGGTAAAATATAACCATGTTTTACAGAATAAAATACTGAATACTATCTCTTAAAGTATTCTTGTTCGTGTAATTATATTTAATAAGACTTCAAGAACCATTTAAACACTATTTCATATAGGTAGTTAATTTCTATTCCTTTTTTTTTCAAATTAATTATCGTTATATGTATATGAAAAAAAAAAATCTTTCGGGCTGAAGCCCCCCTCCCCAAAATTAAATACTGGACCCGTTAGTGATTGAACCTATATTAATCCAGTGAAAAAGACAGAAGATAACTGAATTATCAAAAGCTGTCTTAAATGTATATTGTGTCTTAAGTATGCCTTAAATTATTGGACCAGATCCCGTGAATATTATGAAACAATTTGAGTCCAAAAAACTCACTCGTGATTGAATGAAATGTGTTTAATCGATTTGCTAGGACTTATGTAAAGATTTTTCGAGCATACACCTAGAACGATTTGTATGTTTGATATCTTAGATTATTCGTTGAGATCAATTACTCAAAATTACCGTGTAAAGTGTATTTAATCAATCCCCTAAAAGGTACGTGACCATTTTTTGAGCGAATGGCATGATAGATTTTTAATTTTGACGGCTGGAATTACGTACAAGGAGAGGATACTGTCTGTGGGTCACCGATTTTAACCTTTTTTATTTCTTTTTTTGTAATACTACATCGAAAAATATTAGACATGTATTCCGGCGTTCTTTCCAATGGGCCCTAGATGCTGAGGAAAACAATTATATAATTTCTAATAAAATATATGTTATTTATTTTTGCCTTTGCTTTGTTCGGATTTTTAGAGTGTATATATATATATATATATAATTTTTTTTATGCACAATAATATATCATAAATTACAGAAACCAAAAGCCGCTTCCAGTAAAGTAGGTCAAATAAATGTTTGTTATGAAAAAGCAAATTCTATTAGGGCCTTGTAAAACTCTTAGGTAGTGAAGTAGCTCAGTGGTAGGGCGATGAGCTTCCAATGCTCAAGATCCCAGATTCGAATCCCGGCTCATGACAGAAAAATTATTTATTCTGTTTCATTGGCCGTGGGGTGAACCTGGGTACGGAGAACCTCCTGAAGCAAATCCAGCCTTTATAATTAAATAATTAATTAAGGGAAACCTGACGGTTGAGCATGGTCTCGGTAGTGGGCGGGAAGGCCAAATGGGCTAACGCGTGTGCACTGCACTGCCGTTGCCCGGAAACCGACCCAGGGTCGCCTCACGGCCAATGAAACAGAATGAAAAATATTTTTTCTGTCATGAGGCGGGATTCGAATCTGGAATCTTGAGCATTGGAAGCTCAGCGCCCTACCACTGAGCTACCCCACTCCCTAAGAGTTTTAAAATGCCCTAAAAGGATTTGCTTTTTCATAACAAAAATTTACTTGGCCTATTATACTTAAAGCACCTTTTGGTTTTTGTAATGTATGATACATTATAACTCATTTAAAACAATAGTTCATGTTTTTTCTTATTCTGCACAAAAAAACACAATTGATATGTAGTAACCTAAAAAAACAAGAAAATCAAAGGCACAAATAAATTTTGTTGGAAATAATATTTAAAAAAATTTTCTCGGCTCCTAGGCCACATTGGAAAGAACGCCGGGATATTTTTACAATATTTTTCGATATACTATTTTTTAAAAAATTTGGCTGAAATTGGTGACCCACAAACTGTTTCCTCTCCTTGTCAGTTAACTCTTCTGCTTTTTTTAAAAACAATTTGAGCTCAAAGTACTGGAAAAAAATTATTATGGTTTAAGTCTCTCGATTATAAAATGATTTTAAATGATATCATGTGGCCATATGTTGTGAAAATAAATTGTTAATATTTTAAAAACTATGTAAATATTTATATTTTTTATTTATTCATTGTCATAAGTCTTATGGCCAGAAATATGGTTTATTTATCTGTATACCAATGCTATTCTAAAGGGAATTTGTCACTAAGAAAAGAATAAAGTTAATTTTTCTGTTTTATTCTATTTAATATTTGTTTATATACACACCTTGACTCATACATTTAATAAAGCTGCTTTTAGTGGTATTTTTTTATTACTCAGGAAGAAGAACAACATAGTTTAGTAATCTAACTTCTTTCAAAAGTCTATACCTAAATGCCATACTTATATATGTCTATACCTAGTATTCAGTAGACCAGCATTTTTTTAGTGTCTTATCAAACAGTCTGGAGACCCTGAAAGGTCCACTGATTCTATCATATTCAGACTTTTGCGCAATCTTTCAAACTTCACTAGGTCTTTGTAAATTATTTTATTTTCACTAGCTTTCATTTTTCAGGAATTTTTTACACAAAGTGATGCTGAAAAAGAAGAAGGTTTACCAGTAACACCTTTTATGGACCGTGAGAAGATCACCAAACCTTCATCTCAATGCAGCTTTATTGGATTTGTATTGCTTCCTCTGTTTGAAGCACTATGTGACCTACTTACAGAGCTAACGGTAAAGTATTTTTATTATGTCTTATCACAATTTATTTGAATAAAGTAATAGAAAACTGTATCTTTTTTTTTTTTTGTTGTGTTTATATTAGAATTATTAATGTTTCTTTCATTTTTGACTGTTAATATTCACACAGCATGATTAATCCATTATGTTTGATTTTTATAAACCAGAAATGAGGAAGAGGAATAACCATCCTTAATCATGATTTTTTTTTCATAAAATTAGTAATGTGATAATTTTTTTTTTATTTATATGTATTTACTTTTTGTTAATCTCAATTAATTTACAATTCACTTCACAGAATCCAAAAAAGTGGTGTTTTTATACAATGATGTTAAATTTTTTTGCATTGTCATATTTATTTATAAACCACCATTTCTTCTAAAGTGCAAAAAAGTTGTCAGGACATGATTGGAGGACATGATGTCCAACTACTACAGGCCGAAGGTTCCAGAGTGCTCGGTTCTGCATGTTGTGGGTTCAATTCCCATCCAACTGTTAATATTTATATCTTGACATTTCCATTCTGATTAGTATGTTGCGGCACCCATGGGCTGGTGTGGCTGAGCAGGCTAACGTGCTTGTAATATGTTTGTTTTCTGGCATCTTAAAGATTACAAATTTTTGTCCTGGTGCAAGGGGCTTTTAACTCTGGTATTAATCTTCCATTCCAGGAATAATTGTTTAGCCAAAAAGGCGAGTTAGGAGAGAAAATATGGAGGCAACATCTGGCTTGTTGTTAGGAGTTGGCAAAAAGGATCACAAGGTCTACCTGTCGGATTAGTTTCCTCTCCTGCAATAGTACCAGTACCAGTAAGATATAATCGGAAGATTCCAAAAGGAAAACCATAATTTTTTTTAAATATCAGTAAATAACTAATCAAACTATGCTTTGCTGAATCAGTCATCAAACGGCTAGAAAAAAGCAAGATTGCCAAAGTGCAGACTAAAGACAACCGAACTGTACCTGTATACAGAGAAATACAACAACATTGTACGGCTACTCAACTGTGTTGAGTTGCTAAATAACAGCATATTCATCAATCAATAGATAATAATGTAAGAGAGAGTTAAGTCGGACCAAAGTCTTGGAATGATCTGCTGTCCTCGCGTTGATAGGTTGATTTTTGACTGACTCCTAAATTGGCTAATTGTTTAATGGTTAGTTATTTATTGGTATTAGGGAGACTTATGGCTTCGTTTTAGGAATCGTTCATTTATATCTTAATAATAAAATTTTGTATATTCTTTGAGTTTTTACTCTTTTTTTATAACAGATCAATTTTTAGTATATTGTTTTCTTGAGAAATGTAAAAACAAAATTGTTTATTTAATAACTGTTTCTGAAAATAAAATGGATGGTTTTTAGTTTTTTTAATTTTTATGAACTACTAAGATTTTTATTTTTTAAAAATCAAACCTTAAACAATTAATATAGATTTTTATAACCCTTTTAATTTTTTTTTGTTTAATAACTATTTTTGGAATTGTTTAAATAAGTCTCAACATAGAAAAAAAAATATGGACTAGATTAATTATTTTGTAACTTATATTAAATTTGCACTAACATTTGTTTTTATGAAAATTAACAATATGGCATTAATGCTTTTAACAATTACTAGATTAATTTTTAAAACTGGATTGAAAAAAAATGTATTTTTACAGTGAACTTTGTCTATAGGCTATGATGGTTGATCCAGTCAGATCGGCTTTGGAACATTACCGTCGCCTCAATGAAGCTCATCATAAAGGATCACTAGCTGGTGATTTAGCCCCACCATCGCCTACTAAACATGTGCTGAAATCACAATCTAGTTATAGTGTCCGGAAGCCTAGCATTTCTTTCTCACAGGTATGATTTTTTTTTTACCATTTGTTTTTTCCTTTACCCACTGCCTGGCCATTTCAGATGTATGCGGAAAGAGAGTGTTATCCTACAGTTAACTAATCTATTCTAGTCACAGTGGAAAGGTTGAGATTCATTCCATGGATCTGCCACTAAATAAATTTCAGTTCTCCCAGGCCATATTCAAACTGACACCGCCAGTCTTATGGTTGCCTTAAAAGTAGGATGATGCCTTAAAACTCTCAACCCTCCCGGCCTCATGATTTTTTTTTATCTTAGAATTAATTTATAAGATAATTATAACCTCAAAGGCACATCTTAGTATGAGCAAAGCTACTTACACTCTTCAAGGAGTATGCTAAAAAAGGCACTCACCTGCTGCTCTTTACAGATTCATACTTACAAACTTCTAAGTCATAAAAGGCTTATCTGCTAAGTCATTATGATTATCTGCAGTGATATTTATAATAAATTTATATATAAATTGATAAATCTGAAGAAGAAGGCTATACCTTTCTGTAATGATGCAACTTAACCATACTTGGAAAAGCAAAAATCCTTGCTAGTCATAGAATATATATCAATAACAGACTATGCCGAAAGCCAGAAAACCAGATGGATGAATCGATTTAGCAAAGATGCTGCAGAGCTGCATGCAAACAACTGGAAAGCAATAGCCCAAGATAGGCAGATGTGGAGAAATGGCAAAAAATCTGAAAAGCCAACAAAAAAAAAAAAATTGAGGTTTATTTATTTTTAAATACATATAAATCAAACATTGCTTGTCAATTACTATAAATTATAGTTTTGTAAAGGTAACTGGAGACGATATTCTAAAATCATGACCCGGATACCCAGGACATCGTTTCTTTAAAATTTTATAATTACAGCTATGTAAATTAAAATCTATAATTGTTAATAAAGGTTCATTTCAAAACAATAATTTTCGGGTGTCAAAATGTCTGCAGTTTATTTATGATATTATTTTCTTTTTGTTTGACTCCTGGACCCTCTCCTTCTTGAATTACTATATGGTCAACTATCTATATATGTGATATAAAATTTAATTCCAGCTGCCTCAAAAACCAAGACAACCGTTTTACTTTTCAAAATTAATGTGGTTCACCTAGTTTATTGAATATATCTTTTATTTTATGAAGGTGTATTCAGTAATTAAAAAAAAAAAAGTGCAGAAAAAAAAATTCTTCAAATAATTTTCATAGATCTACAAATTTTCAAGATGATGTAGAACTTGTATAACTAGTATATTACATAACAAAATTCAATGAGGTGTCTATGTAGTGTTGACCAAGTCTACTGGTTTCTTAATATTTTTCATTTGCATAAAATTAGATCAGATTTTTCATAAAATTTAAATGGGCATCTCATCAAGTTGGTGTAGTTTATTAGCAAACTTCCTGTATCAAAACTGATAATTGTTTATGTATACACACAACTCTGTTAGCATCAATAATTGTATTTGCAGTTTATGTTAACTAAATCTATATGAAAATGAAAAAGTATGGTAAATATCCGGCTAAAATTCAACGGGTAGGAGGATGTGGGTAGATCGCTTATTTTGAAACATGTAGCTAGGATCGATTAAAAATGAGTTTGCACCTTACCTCTATGTTCGGAATGTTTAAATTTATAAATATGGCTCCCAGAAAGTATAAAATTTTAGTATCTAAAATTAAAGGATATATAATAGATTTAGAGTACTTGTATTAGGATAATTTTAAGAAATAACAATGACTAACAAACATACAGCAAGTTAATCAATGAATTACTATTAGTGTTAAGAGATTAGCTAAATAAATAGTTTTAACTTCCCACAGGGTTCTCAAGGGGCTGATGATTAAAGCACTAGTCACTTGTTAAGAATTAAAAAAACATTTACATAAAATATTAAAATAAATTATTTTAGCCTATTAATAAAGCAACTGTATTAGAGAAATAATAAATAAGATGACATTCAAATATTACATAACATTAAACAGCTTGAGAAAAAATGTATTTTTGTTAGGGGGAATGACATCATTGCCCGGGGCACCAAAGGTCTAAAGCCACCACTGATTTCCTATGCCAAAATGATATTATTTGCCATCAAGGGAAATAATTCCTGTGGGCAATCCAGAAATACACAAAATGTTTTCTTGAACTAGCTGAAGTGGATAACTCTAATTTTCATATTATATATTTTTTTTTTTTAAATTCCGACATTAAGGTGCACTGCGGCCTCAAGAAAGCCTATTGTTGTGCATCTCCCTAAACTCAATTAAAACAGGGCAGATGCCTTTACAAACCTGTTAATACTAATAAGATCAATCAGTTTGCAGTGCTTAGGGTCAGTGATACAATCACATCCAAAGTGAAAGTATCTCAGTCTAGCCAAATTATCACATTTATAAATAATGTGATCATTTCTGGCCATTTCATCCTCCAGGCCACATAGCCTGCAAGCGGAGGTCTCACTTACACCCAAATTAAAAAGATGCTTATTTAATTGACAGTGACCAGTGTACATTCCTGTCACACGTCTAATGGTACTCTTGTCCATTAGAACTGAATTACTTTTCTTGTGACAGGGCCCTACTCATATTATATATATATTTTGTCTATTAAAATGTATTTGGGCCTGTCATCTTATTTTTGACAAGTTGACAAGCAGCAAATGTGCTGATACAGGAAATAATGACATGAGAGGTATGGGGAAGGGAGATAGTGTTTATTAGAGCCAAAACATTATATGATGCATATATCAATTTTTTTTTCTTATAATTAATCATTGTTATAGCTAAAGATCTATCAAGTTAAAAATTGCAGAATCTAAAGTTAAGTCAAAGAGAAAAGGTAATGTAATAAGAAAAGGTAAAGTCATTATCCGAACAAGACTAAATTGCTACTTCTCTTGAAATGAATCATTAAACCATATTTTTAAGGCATTTGGAACATTTTTATGGCTGACAACAAAGCATACCAACTCTAAAACGTCAAACTGTTTGTATATGACAAAATGTGATATTCATTTCATATTCTGCTCTTCTGCAATATTTGACAAGTGTGGTAAAGCCTTGAATTCCCAACCATCAAGAGTTGGCTCATTTTATCACCCCAGGGATTTAATCTCAGTTTTAAAGGAATAAATCGAAAAATGGCATTTTTTTTCTTTTGACAGCGTGACGTTGCAGTAAAGAGATAATAAATGATCAAAGATAAATTTAGGTACAAACTTACTTACAAAACATTTTATTAAATTAAGATTTACAAAAATAACAATATAAATATAATACAACCTTAACTAACTAGTATAGTATCATCTGAACTAGAAGCAAGAACTGATTCTGTGAAAAAGCTTGGAAACCAATAATAATATTCTGATTCAGATTGTTTATCAATCCATGCAATCCCTTCCTGAACCAACAACTCAAGTACCTTTTTTGCTCTGTAATGTTCCCACTTTAAAGTACTATTTAGTTCTGAAATAGTGATATAACTTTTTCCCAAATTTGAAGTTGTCTGTAATACAGTACTTTGATCCATACTAAGTTCTCCTGGAACCGATTGGATTAAATATTTACTTTTTCCTAAATTGATTACTTTGAATCCATTTCCTAAAATTGACAACTTCTTTGCTGCTCTAAGGACATCATCAATACTTATGTCTTGATTTGGTCTTTTTCCTCTAGATTTGATTAATTTTTCTCTTAATTCTTCTAGAAATATTAATCCACCATTACTAGCAGTTGTTGCAAGACATACTTCAACAATTTGAACACTTAGCTCATAGTAAAAATCACCAATGTTTAGTACTGACCAAAACCCTTTGTTAGAAGCTAAAGGATCCACACCGATTGAAGCGCACATCTCTTGAAACATACGCCGAAAAGCTGAGTTCTTCTTTATTTCATTACGATACTTAGAGGCGAATTTTTCAAGATTGTCGCGGAATACTTCTAACTGTTTAGTCATCAGATCAAACTGGTTTTCTTGTAATTCATTGCCCTTGTCTTTGTACCGCTCCTGCTCCAATTTCTGCTTTTGGATAGCTCCAACACCTGCTCTTCGGCGCATTTTCAATATTATGATTGAATTTTCACTATATACGTAGTAAATATTGATAATACAAACTACTTGTATTTCACAGCTGACGTTGGGAAGGTTACAATGCGGTAGCGTAAGGGGTGGGGCGTGAAATCGATTTTTCTGTCCTAATCGATAAGTACAGTGGCTTAATAATACAGTGCCACATACCGATGTGGCGGCCATATTGGATCGGCGGGAAACTAGTATTTGAATAGTCTCTGCTTGTTATTTCAATTTAAAAAGTAATTATTGCAACAAATTATTAACTAGAATGGTTTCGGAGATAGAATTGAAGTTGGGCAAGCTGAATGAAGCATATGAATTACTTATATCACACGAAAATAAATAATAAAATCTAAGAATAACATTTTTTTTTTATTTTTAACTTCTTTTAAAATATATTCCAATAAACTTCGGTATATTTCGATTTCCATTTTATTCTTCTAACTCTCTCATTAGCAAATTTCACGAAAAAATGTATATAATTATTAAAACATTAAACAAAAACTATTTTTATTTTTCTTCTTATATTCTCCTTTGAAAAAAAAAAACTTTAAATAAATGTAAATTATTTGATGTAAATTTAATAAATATAAATTATTTAATGTACATTTAATAAAAATAAATTATTTAATAAATATAAACTATTTAATGTAAATTTAATACATATACATTATTTAATGTAAATTTAATAAATATAATTTATTTATTTTTACTTTGTTACCAACCCTCCGAGGCGTCTGAAAAGAAGATGGCCTCGGGATCTTCTAATATAGAACTTTAATTTGAGTTCTACCAATGGGTAGTTTCTCTTCATGTTGTACATGTCATGTTACCAATTTCACATTTACTTATTGTATTTTCTATGTAATACAGTTGTAAATTCCTTTAAAAAAATAAAAAAACTTTGTTACTTGTGTCTGAACTCCCCAACTAGGTGTTGCCCAAATGCAAGACTCGTCTTGGTCTTGGTCTTATGTAAGTCTCGCAGTTACCTATTAGCTTATTATTATAGAGATATTACTGTAATTTTTCAGATATGGGAAACTTAACTAAGTTCAAATGAAAAATTGAGAGTTAAATTCCAAAGGATATTGGTTATACCAATTCTTTACATATGGTAACTGAAATTGTCAAGTTTTAGTGACTATTTTACCTTAATTTTTATTCATAAAAAGGTTGTTTTTTTTACCATTCGTGGTCTTGGTCTTGCAACAGTTAGGCGGCCTTAGTCTTAGTATTCCTAAGTTCATGACCAAGACCGATTTTGGGCTTCACTAACTATTATAAATCCACTATTATTACAAATTTAAATAGTTCAAAATTTGATCCTCGATTAATAGAACAATTTCTGATCACTGATAATAAAATATATTTTATGAAACGGTTTACCTCTTACCATAATGTAGATATTGTATATTGCATCTGAAGTAGAAAAATATTGTTCATTTTACTTTTAAGCCTGTTAAAGGTGGTAGGAGAGTATTTGTTTTGGAGTGGTATAATTTAGTTTTTGTATAATTTGAAAATTTCTATTTACCAGTCAATATCAATCAACAAACCTGTTATCAATGAAGTGGATTAATAATCATAATATGATAAATTGTAATAATGTTCATCACACCTGAATTTATAACGGTACTATATAAATACAAAATAACTATATTCAGGGCTCTAAAGGGCCCTTTACAGGGTCAAGAGTCAATATTATTGAAGCAATATAAGGCAATATATTGAAGGGGTACTTCACAGGGGTCAATTATATTGAGTCAGTATTATATCAGTTAATATGTTTCTCTCTCCCCCCAGAAAAAAAATAAGTAAAAAAGTATTCCTCAGCTACCCAAACATATCGCCATTTTATTTTTAAGAAAGAATTCGGAGTTGAGGGAGGGTTAACTCCCCTAAAAAAAAATTATAGTAAAAAAGTATCACCCACCTACCCAAACATATTGCCATTTTATCTTTTTAAAAAATCTGAGGAGGGTTAACTCCTTCCTCCAAAAAAAAAAACAAAGTATTACCCACCTATTCAAACATATTGGCAAGAGGGGCATTGGAAATTTGGTATCGCCCAGAGCTTCTCAAGATTCATATATATATGGTTTAATTTTTCTCAATATAGTCCTTATATATGCAATTATATTGACACTGTTTCAATAATATTGAAGGAGATTTAATAAAAAAACATTTTTACAACCAGTTTGATTGACATCAATATAATTGATGCCAATGTTGCTTTTACATAGTCAATATATTGACGAAACTCAATGTTGACTTAATAATATTGACCGTATTAGAGGCCCTTAAGAAGAGGCACACGATCACTTTACGGCGATAAAATAGTATATTAGGAGCATCAAAAAAATTGAGAAATAAACGAATACAAAACAATTATTTTTTGGGCCAGTACTATTATACCACAGTACTGGAAAAATACAAAATAACGATATCCTGGGCCCACAGAGGTGGCCTATGAATCATTATATGGCTATAAAAAAGTACAAAAACATTTATGCAAGAACCGCATTAGATGAGATCAAAAAATATGCAGAAATAAACGAATATAAAACAATTATTTTTGGGGCCAAACATACAATCAGACTAGAAAAATACAAAATAACGATTAATGCAATACCTCTCTGAGGGCCCCACAATCATTCTACTGCCATAACCAAACACAAAATATTTATGTTTGGTCCCAACCTAACATCGAAGGGGGTACAAAAATTTGCGAAAATAAATTGATACAAAATAATTATTTTGGGGTTCTACAAAAAAATAAAGTAAGGATTTTGGGCCCACTCCGGTGTTCTCCCTGGCCAAACCACTCCTGCATGCCTCTTATGAAGTAGCATGGTTCCAAAAAAAAAACTCTTCACTGCATTTTTGTTATACACTCTTTATTAAAAATTTGATAACTTGAAGCAGTAATTAGTATTAATCTCTAGATGTTCAGATATTATTAAAAAAAACTATTAATTTCATAATTACATTATTATTGTAGTTATTAATTTTCATGTTGTTTTTAAGTAATACTATACTCTAATGAAACGATATGATTGATTATTCACTAGATGGTTTCTGTTTCTTTAGCATCCTGACCTTGATGAAGAAGAAGAAGGAGCAGGTTTAGAAGATATCAGCACCGATGAAGAAGAGACTGTGACAGAAGTTGCTATTAGTGAAAAAACACTCAAATTCAAAATTTCAACAGAAAGTACTAGGTTTGTCTAAAATAATGTTTATATTAGTTTAGTCTCAGATCTTTTTACCTTTCATCTTGTTCCCTGTACATGATTGTAGGATTTCCAAAAACAATTCATATGTTCATGAGGTAGAAAAAAGTTTTAATTAATAAAAACACATGTTCATACAGTTTTGCCCCTCAACTGCCTGGCTTTTGATATAATAAATATATCCTGTCTGAAAAATCTGGAGTCACTTTCCCATGGTTTTTCACCAAGAGGTAACTCTTCGGCCATTTGTTATAGATTTGTAAAAATGCTCATTGTTACTGCACGAGTTCTTTAAAGCCTAATCAGGCATCAGTAACTTATGAGAAACTTCATTAGAACAACTGCCTCATCTACCTACTGTAACTGAAGTAAAACATCTCTGCCTGCTCCATTCTTTATGTCTAAGATGAAGACCATTTTGAAATATCATGAGGATAACAGTTGTAAGACATTAAATATATTCATAATCAGACCTGATATTAAATATGCTAAAAATCTCTAGAGCATTGACATCAATATTTTCTCTTCATATCTCCACATTTAATGGAATTCATTGTTAGTTGTCAGTAATTAATTCTACTTCTCATCTTTTTTTTTTTCTAGATATGTTTTATTTCTGTCTGTATGTGAATTTTAATCTAGTCTTTTCTTAACATTTTAATTACGATAACCTTTACCTTCTTGTTTCAGCAGAGAAGCTTAAATTTTCTTTTATAATCTCTAAAGGCTGTTTTCTAAACAATATAATTTATATATTTATTATATTGCTGTTAAGAATAAACAAGAAGTTTGCTTTAAAAAGAAATTCTTGAGAGGATTATTTCAAAAAGGGTGAGGAAGAAAAATAAGGGGATTTTAGATAAACAGGCATATGTTTATTAAACAGTCATGTCCGTGTTGGCCAAGATTGATGAAGAGCTGGTTCCTCTGTTTGCTATGCAATGGATCTCTACATTAGATGGTTCAACTAACTCTTGCACAAATTCAAGGCCATTTAGTGGACAAAAAGATAAAGCAATTTATTGTCATTAGATGTTTTATTTCAGATAAATTTTAGATCTCCTCCTACATATCAATTCACTATGGACTGTCATATTTTGAGAGTGCTTAAAAGCTTTTTGAAGAATGCAGCAAGAAAACTGGCATCTGTTTTAAATGGATCTTGAAAAATACCAATTGACTCTGAAACTTAAGCCACTAAAGAAATCTCCATCAGGAATGTTTAGCTAAACATACTACTTCAATTGAACTGAGTAAATGATTTAAGATTGAAAGGTCTAGTACAGCTTCTCCTCTTCTTAGATTGGACGCTTGGAGCTGTATCTTTGTTACACTAATGCTCAAAATAATTCATAAATTTTAAGTAAAAAAACTCTTTAATTATTAATTTAAAAAATACTGTATGTAAATTGAATACAACAGTATATTATAAATGAAAAACTTGGTCCTCCTGCAGTTTTATATGTGCCATATTGATATACTCAGTTTCTGTAGCTGATAAAGTCTCAGATTTAAGATTTTTGTTGTAAGACATCTTGTTTGCTCTGGGATGTCATTATATATTTGTATTTGGTGGTTTTAAGATTAGATGAAGGATGTAAACCAGGAAAATGCCATCTAGTGACTTAGAATAAGATTCAGTTGCATTCAAGAATATCTTCGTCAACATATTTTTTATTATACAAGAATAACTACTTGAATATAATATAATTATATATAATCATACTTAGTTATCAAGTATTTATCTTACACAAGTAAATAATTACATCTATTTTCTGCAAAAATGATGTGTTTTTGTAAAACAGTTTTTGTTTTTTAATTATGTTTAATTAATGTGCTGTTCTTTTATTTACTAAATAGTATTCATTTATTTTGAGATAATTATAATTACTTTTTGTCACTCTGATCAGATTTTAAATTATTATATTTTATTTTATTTCACCCTAAAAGATCTATATTCAGTTAAAATATTACATATAATTACCATATTACCATAATTAAATTGATTTAAAATATATTCCCTTAGTAGTAGTGGAAGAAAATCTGATCCTGGGTCCAGAAAGGGGTCTCGAGAGAGAGGTCCTGCAAGCCTGACAGATGAGGAGTGTCCGTGCCGCAAGGAAAGGTCAATGAGTGAGGCTGCAAGGTCTCCTGGTCTGGTGAGACGGCTGAGAACCCTTGGTGAGAGGCTTAGGTCAGCATCAGAATCGCCAAAATGTGCTCCCCCTTCACCTGCTAGTCTTAAATGCCCTTCTGCACCTCCACCACAAACTGAGAGGAGAGCATCAACATTACCCAAGGTATTTATCCATATTTTTTTTAAATTTCAAAATCAATAATTATATATATTTCAGATAAAAAATTAACTATTGTCAAGGTGATTACTCATATACTGTCATTTGTATACTTTGATCTCTGGAACATTTAAAAATTGTAAATATAGGTTAACACATTTATCAGCAATGAATTCAGTCATTGCTGAGGAGATTATTATTGGTTTATTAGTGAGTGAAAATAAATGCCTAACATGTTTAATATAAATTAACTTTGTTTTGCTTTGTGGCTGTAATATGTTTTGCATGAAGCTGTAGGACATTGTAGTCCTAATTCACAATCATTTGTAAAAACTGTTGTAAAATTGAGATATCTAGTATTGTTTTATCCATTCCACATGATAACCTTTCATTTGCGCGTTGATTTCCAAATCTACTTACATTCTCCTTTCCTGATTTCTTTACAACTTTTGTTAATAACTTTGGTTAATCTAAATTATATCAATTTCTAAAAAACCAAAATCCAATTTATAATAATAACCAAGTTTTAATTTTATATCTTTTTCTTATCTGGCATCATGACCCACTTGATGAGTCAAAGCCTGCTCCAACAAGGATTGCCAGTTCTCTCTGTTGTGTGCTATTGCCATCTAATTCCTTAAGCCAAGTAGTTTTCTAGAGTTCCTAACCAAACAATCCTCTCAATGAAGCTTGTGACATCCTGCTCTCTTTGTTCCATACACTTGCTCCTACAAAATTTTCAATGGGATTTTTCCCTAGTTCATTCTGATAATATCACCAGCCCAGCAGAGTTGTGCAAATTTGATGAAGCTAATGATATTGACGTCTTTATACATGGTGCTAACTTCTGTATTTGTTTGTCTTCTCCAGGAGCCCTACTCACACACACCTCCATATATTCTGTAGAGCACTTTCCTTTCAAATCTTAAAAGGAAAGACTTGTTCTTGGGCTTTAGTCATTGTCAAACATCCTGAGCCATATGTAAGTACAGACCTAATTATTGTCTTACAGATCCTTGTTTCAGAGGCTTTGGACAAGATGCTGCTATTTATATGTTTTTAGAGTGAAAAATATGTACGATTCCCCCAAAAAATGTGTCACTCTATTTCTTCTTGCATATTATTTTTGTAGTTGACTTGGGATCCTAAGTAGATAAAGAACTGTACCCTTTGAACCTGTACCCTTTAAACCTGGAAAACTGTCAAGAGGTTTTAGAACAGGGTTGTGAGTTAGACAGGGAGCTAGCCTTGCATGTCTTGTATTCAACTTTTCACTTGAACAAGTAATTAGAGATTCATGGATCCAGACAGAAGGAATTGTTCTAAACAAATCAATCATAGTTTTGGGATTCGCAGTTGACTTGAACCTTACAGGAAGATCCCTTAATGTAGTGAAGGAAGACTTTGAGGCACTGGAAAAATCAGTGGTAAGCTTGGCCTAAGAATAAACTTCGATAAAAACAAATACTTGAGTAACCCACCACCAGAGGAAGGTGCAGAAAGATATGTTACAATAGGTACACACCGAATCCATATGTACCCTTTTGATTCGGTATGGACCTATTGTAACATATCTTTCTGCACCTTCCTCTGGTGGTGGGTTACTCAAGTATTTGTTTTTATCGAAGTTTATTCTTAGGCCAAGCTTATCACTATCCTCCATTGTCATTTTCACTAAACAAATAAGTTGAGGAGGGTTCTTTATTTATAGCATTGCCTTGTATGCTTCTTCTCTGTACACAGAGTCATATACTTGTTTAAAATCTATGAACAGATGTTGAGTTTGGGTCTGAAACTCTCTTGTTTTCTCTATTAGAACTTGCAGCATGAACATCTGGTCAATAGTCAACTTTCCTTTATGGAATCCATATTGATATTTTCCTAGTTCACGTTCCGCATTGGAAAGAAGTCTTTTAAATAGGATATGAGACAAGATTTTATATCCACTTGGAAAGAGGGATATATCCATATAGTTATTACATGTTATTATGTCGCCTTTCTTGTGTATGGGACAGAATATGTTTTTTTCCCACTCACTAGGTAGTTTCTCTTCTCTCCATATGTCCATCAGAATTTCCTGAAGAAATTCATTTCATTCATCTTATCATTTGGTTCCCACTATTCTTAAACAGCTCTGCTGGAATGTTGTCAATTCCTGGGGCCTTGTTTGTTTTTAGCTTCTCTACCACATCTTTTATTTCTTCTTCATCAGGAGATTCAATAGAATCATCGGTGTCCATTTCTCCTAAGTTGGTTGCATAATTTAAATTTTCCTATCGGTCTCCACTCATTATTTCCTCAAAGTAGTCTACCCAACAATCCATAATTGCTTATTCTTCTGGTATTAAAGAGCCATCTTTAAGGTTTATATATCCAATGCCCATCATTGATTATCTGATAAAATTTTCTACTATTCTTATATTTGTAGGCATTCTCGATTTCATTAAGACTTTTTTACATCTTCAGAGGTGAGTTTCTCTTCTTCTGATGGCTCGATAATCCTACACATATCTCCTCATTTACTTCTTCTTTACCAATATTTTATAAGCTTGATTTTTTTATTTGGTTTAGTAGCTTGCTTTATTCATCAAACCAAGCTTTACTTTTGCATCTTTTTTCGGTCCATATAACTGTCTTTGCTGTTTCTGTCATTGCCATTTTACATTCATTCCAGCTATCCTCAAGTGTTTCATCTTGGTTCATACTCATGATTTTAGCATCTATGAATTCAGTATGAACTGCATCGTCTTGAAGCTTTGAGATATCGAATCTTAATATAGGTGTACAAATCTGATTTCTAGCTGTTGAGATTCAGATCCTAATTTTAGCAATGATTACGGAATGATCGGAGTCCATATTTGCTCCTTGGTATGATCTCACGTATATTAGCGAAGAACTATGCCTTGAACTAATAAGCATGTGATCAATTTGCGTGGTAGTGACCTTACCATTAGCTCCGAATTTTCTCCATGTAGCAAGATGGATCCTTTTATAAGGAAAACAGTTCCTTCTACAGTAAGTCTCTTGGAAGCTGCAAACTTTATCATTATATATTTTTAATGTTATATAATGATTAAAATTTTTTTAATGATACACCTTCATACTTCTCTCCTTTATTTTCTTTTTATGATATTTTGGAAACTGTTTTCCGTTAACAAATATATCACATTCTTCTTCTTTAAACTTCTTGAGATTTCCCAGATCACTGTAGATCTTCGTCACCAAGTCAGTTGTTTTTGGCCAGATCTGCCTCCTGATATCTTCCAGCCCATATAATTGTTTGTTATTTATTATTTTTTTTATATGCTGTCTTATTATCATTATTGATTATATAAATCTATGTAATCTAATTGTTACTTTTACTTTTTTAAAAATCATTTTGAAGTGTCTACTCTAATGTCAGAATAGTAGAGTCAACCAGGATTGTTAAGAAGAAACATTAAAATTCAAAAAATAAAAGTAACAAATTGCATTGTTTAAGATAATAAGGAAAATGTGACTTTACACAAAAAATGTGAAATGTGTGATAATAAAAAAACAGTTCCCAAAACACCATAATAAGAAAGTAAATGAGAGAAGCATGAATGTGGATCTTTTAAACATTTTCTATCATTACATAAAATTGAAACTTAAATTATATCAAATATATTAGTAATTTCTTTAAGATATTTAAAGAAAGTGTTATAAAACATGTTCTGTCTCTTCTTCATCTGTTATTTACTATTTTTATGATAAAAAAGAATATAAGAGATGTAATCTAAGATTTTGATAGGATTCTTTGGATCCTTGTATCTCAGTAATTTAAAAATATCTGTACTCCTTGAATTATTGGTAGTATATCCTATTAAATCTTGATTTTTAACACTTCATAAATATTCTTCGGATCACTAAAACGTCATGGTTTTAAGTTACTCCATTCATCCCCAGCAATTCTGAGCTAGCCTTATTTTATCAAAAAGTTTTCAGTTGGTCTTGGTTCCTTTATTTTCTAAGTAATCTGTTCATCGTCGCCTTCACCTTCAGAAGCTAAAAAATTAATTTAATTTGAAATCTTCATGTACATTATTGGATCCCAATACTCTGATGTGTTTCCTCCCAGAGAACTGCAGCATTTAATTATTTAATTGTTGATCAGTGATCTAAAATAATTTAACTTCATATAATAATTGTTGTTCAATAATTTTTTATTAGTTATTCTTTTATATTTACCAACAAATTTTCTTTAGGCTCATATAATCTTTTTTTCCAATACTTCATTCTCTTCAATTCAATGCTGCCAAAGTTTTTTTCTCTTTGTTCTAACATAGATATTATCTTCTTTTTATTTTAAAATTATTTATGTACTTATTTTATGGTTTCCACTGTTCTCACTTGATTTTTTTAATTTATTCCTAAATATTGAAAAGCTACATCCCTAACTCAGTTAGTTTTAAATTGATTTGCCCTAAAGCTTTAAAATAGATATTTCAATCTCACAGGTAAACCGAAAAAGATTTGCTTCTGAAGCAAGAAAAGGCTGGCGAGGACTATTAAAGAAACGCGAGGAGGGTGCAGGAAAATCTAATGGTCTTTCACAGGATCCTATTGGTAAATAAGTTTTTGCTGAAATTATGTTTGATTATTCGTTCGTTTCATAAACTTATATTTCTTAAACATATTCTTGATCATAATATAATCAGACATAGTCCTCTTTCTAGATTGTATGATATTATTTGTATTAGAAGTATTTCTGTCAGAAACTTTCAATTTATAGCACAGCCAAGTGTACAGCTCAATGTACCTTAAGATACCTTTTTTCTAGTTTTGACATAAACATTTTGAATTTCAAATTAAAGAAAGAATTAGTGTTTAGAAAATTTATATAATTTGTTATGTAGCAAAGAGAAATTGTGATTTTAATGTAGCTAAGAAAATATTCCTAGAAATGACAGAATTAATATTATTCTTTTAAATATGGCTGTCTTTTTACCTAACTTGGGCGAAGCCACAAGGGAATTAATTCATTTTTTACTAATTTTAGATATGATGAATATACTTGGGATCCACACTGTTTTTAAAATCTATTACAAGATAACGATTAATTGAAAAATTTATTAATTAAACAGTTCTTGGTTAAAAATTAGAGAAATAATTATTATATTCTTTTGATTGAATGCTGTTGTTCTTGAGCCATGCTTAAGGTTTTCCCTACTTCCACATCAATTCCTGAGATAATCTCAATTGTTCATCTATGAAAAAACTATGCCTAACCTTCTTTCCAATTTAGATGGTATATTGTCAGACTACTGAAACAAATTCATTTTCCCTGTATTATGATAATTTTCTTAAAACTTTCCTCTCTCAAATTTAAAGATTTCCAGAATCCTTGCATAGGCCCAGGTGATAGGTCATAGATGTGATAATCTTAGGCTACTGAAACAAATCCATTTTCCCAGTATAAGTATAATTTGCTTTAAACTTTCCTCTGTTGTATTTAAAGATTTCCAGAATCCTTGAAAAGTTCCTCTGTGTATTTATTTCATTTCATTATAATATTTTAAAATATAAATCTTTAAAACCAAATATTATTGGTTTATAAATTTTTTTATAGACGCAAATAATTATTTTTTTAAATTAAACTTAAAGCAATCTAATGGTAGTAGTGACAAATTAAATTTATGTAAAATACATACCACCAATAACTACTAATAAAAATACATAACATCAATCAATAGTTTAACCTTATTTAATTTTTTTTTTTTTAATTATCATTATGTGTTAGTGTTAGATAAAGAAAATTTAGTAAAATAGGCTCATGAGTTTTCAAGGAAACTTGATCATTCTATCATATATTTGCTATTATATTATTATTATTATTATTTTTAAATTCAACTTTAAACTCTTATTTCCCATTAGGCAATAAAGAAAGAAAGGATTATCTTGCAGCTACTTTTTTATTTAGAATCCTAGCTTTGGTTGTTTATTGTTTAAAGTTTAATAATTATTAAATAAATGTGAAAAAATAAAAAGGTTAGGATCTACTAGCTCTGAAAAGCTAAACTTTGGAAATAGCTCCTTTATTTTAATTTATATTATCATATTAAAAATGTTAAAGAAACTCTATAAGAAATATTGAACTATATTTGAATCAATTTTATTTGGAGTTTTATTATCAATTTTCAGTAGGAGACAGTGAAGACAGTGGTGTCAATAACAACCGAAAAAAAAATCGGACTGTTGAAGGCTCTCCTCAACGTCAACATTGGGTACAAAACTTAGTTTCTTCATTGCGTGGTAAAAAATCTTAAAAAACAAAAGAAAAAAAATAAACTAGTTTTAAATTTATTATTCGTGTATACAAGACCTGTTCTGCCTCATTCCACTTTTGTATTATCCATACATTTGAATATAGGGCTTGTAATTAGAAAAAATAACTCGAATATTTTTGGTATTAAGCTTTCTTAAGTTTTCTTCAAATATGATTTTGCATTGTATGATACATTTTTAGTTATTATTACATGTTATTATTATTATAATAGTAACATAATAATTATTTTAATAACAAAATAATAATTATATTATTATTATCATCGCATCTTACTATGCGAATCATCTCATAATTCAACATGAAAAACATGAACAGTTTTCAAAATAATTTTTAAAAACATGAATTATGTAATAAAGATATTAACTCAAGACATTTAAACTATTATTTCATTAGAAATCATTCCAGAATTTAAATTATTTCATTAAACAAATGCCACTATTTCCTTATAGAATCTATAGTTTATCATATTGAAAATTGTAATAGAATAGTCAGGAATAATTGATTCGAGTTACTTTTATTTTGCATGTCCTATAAATTTTTTAAACAATCTTTTATATTTCTATTGCCTATGTTACTGTACTCTACTTTTTATATTATACAACAGTGAGAAGTTATTTACTTTTCCATAAGTTGTAATTTTTTTCAGAGACCCGTGAAAAGATTTTTCTTATAGAATGATTATATGTCATTAAATTATTGTTTGAATTTTTAAGTATATTTTTGTTATCATGATATAAAGATGTTGATATGTTTATAAAAGTAGTAAGGAAAACTAAAAAAAAAAAAAAAAAAAAATATCTTTTATTTACAGTAGTCATTGTATTTTAAAATATTTATTAATATTATTAATATAAACAAATTTTCAATTATTTTTTAATGTAGTTACATGTTATTCATTTAACTTAATCTTTTGTAATAACTATATTGACAAGAGTGTTTAAAATTTATCATCAAATTTTTCATTGTTAAATGTTTATCATTTGTTTCAATGTCGGGTGATACATAAAACATGTGAGTGTATATATGTCAGATATATATCTGTACTACTTAATGATCAAAGTTGTTCTTATTATTTATTTATTTTATTTAATCAAATAAGTTAGACCAATAAAGATACACCCAAGACTGAGATCTTAATCAAACATTTAGTTTGTATCAGAATTTCACATGCAAAGATCCAAGTTGAATACGCCAAAATTATTAGCCTATGAGTAATTTAGTTTAGTTATTATATTTCAGTATGAATTGATAGTACTGATTACATCTGTGTATTTTTAAGTATGAAAACTGGCTGGGACAGTTTTAAGTAACCATTGAAATAATAAAAAAAAAAATTCCTGATGATTTTTCTTATGTATTTTTAATAGTGACCATGATCGATAAATTGATACTCACAGTAAAACAATAACTGTATATTTTGTATTGGGTTGTCAAGTGTTTACCTACTTTGTGTTTGTATTCAAGTTTATACACTGTGGCATCTTGGTCATACTTGTACCTTTTCTTTCCAAATTTTAAGTAATTGTTTTGGTTTATGTGCATTTTCACTATCTAAGTTAATATGTAGTTTACAGATTAATGTTATTGATACTATTAATTATATTTCAACTTATTTCTAATATTTGTCATGACTGAGAGGGGCCCTCAGGTTAGCATATGTGTCTGTTCTTAGAAAAATACTAATAACAAGCATTTGTTATCCCGTAAATCAAACTTCAACTATGTTCTATCCAACCAAAAATTCTTAATACGACTATTAATGTTGTTGGATTGTCAATGGAAAATCCAAAGAATAATTAGAATATTCAAGCTATTTCCTTAGTTTCATCAGCTCCTTTGCCAATTTATATTAGTTCTTTTCAGTTTTCTATTAACCATACCTTATTCCGGGAGAGTAATTTTTTTTCTTTGAGTAATCATACTCTTTTAATGCATTTAAAAACATTCAGTGTTTTATTATTACAAAAAGCTCTCAGCAGTGTTGAAACATAAATTCTTAACTATAATTCTCAGAATCATATAGATGCCTTTCAGAGTACAAACCAAAATATTCTAAATATGGCTCATATCAATATTGTCAATAAAATAAAAAACTTGAAAATATTACTGTCTCCCTGTGAAATCTAATCATAGGAATATACAGTGCTTATATTTCAATACCATTTATAATAGTTTGATTTATTGAGGGTCCCATTATAGCAAGGGTTCTTAGCCTATGAGGGGGCCTGTACATAATATCTTTTATATACTTCAACTAACAGCCTGTTTTATTTCTTAAATTGTATTATAATCTTTGGGTTTATAATACAATCCAATACACAAAACTTATTAATTTTCTGTTAAGTAATAAATAAAAAAAAAATTTGAGAAATCAAATTTTATTAAAAATAATCTTATTTACTAATAAAGCCTTTTTCATGGCGAATTTATGAGAGCCTAAGACAGATCATTTCCCAACTATCTTCAAGAATTTCTTATGTTTTAAATATAAAAGATAGACTTACACAATTTTACGATATATATTTCATGTAAACAAGATTTTTTTTTTTTATTGAATGACGCAGGGAAGTAGATGAGGTTTTTGAGTTGGGAAATCAGAGATATTGAAGCCAAGAGATTAGGAAAGAGTTCTAGCCCATTCTTTTAGCTTTCCTGCTTGAATACTCGTTGAAATTCAATATCTTTTATGTCCTACTTATGTAAAACATTAAAAAAAAAGATGATCTAATGTTGATAACAGATATGCATATTACACAAGAGAAAATAAGTTAGTTTGACTTTATCTTTCTAAGATTTTCCTTAAAAATGTGCCATAAACTCTCAAGAGAACCTTCTCTAGGTTATGAACCCCTGCTCATAAAGATTAAAGTTAATAATGTCATTATCTTTATTATGTGGTTAATGATAAGAACAAAAGTTACTAATATTCTGAAATTGTTTTGTTTTGATACTATACAATTTATTTAGCTTTATTAAATTAAACCAGGTGTATGTTTAATATCTTGATTTAAATTATAATATCAGAACTAGTTTTAAAGCATGAAATAACTTGACTTCCCAATACATCAGATAGGCCATTTTGTCTTCCTTACCAGATATTGGAGATAAAACATACACCTGCCTTGGTTGCATTTATATCAGCAATAATGCGCTGAAGTTTTTTTTTTTGCTCTGATTTCACAAATTCAATTTCTAGTCCTTGATCAGAGCTTTGTACATATTATATATATGTCTCTTCTTAGACAATCCTTACCGAATTCCGTCTTCCTCTTCTTCTCAAGGCCATCAAATGGAGGATGTGGATTATCAAATCACATATTTTCCTATTGTATAATATGCACTTTCTATTTATAAGTGAAGCATTAGTTCCGTAGTCCTTACTATGTTTTTTGTGATAAAACTATCATATAATTATAATATATTATAATTATCTGTAAGATACTCATAGACTATGAGATAATTTTAAATTTAAATTATCTAATTCAAACTATATATGTTTATTATAAATATTTTTTATACTTAACATATTACTTAAAATTAAAAAAAAAAACTTGCTTATTCATTGAGCTGTAAGGTTATTATTAATAATTGTTATTGTTATTACTTGTTAATCATGAAGTTTTAACTTTTGAATATGATCCTCTTATTAATTCACTATTAAGTAATAAATCAAAACCACCAGTAAAAAAAAATTTGAGAATTCAAATTTTATTAAAAAGAATCTTATTTACCAGTAAAGCCCTTTTCATGGCAAATTGCTTATTTGGATTTCACTGATAATGACCAAGCATATGATTAATGAAATAGTAAATTCTTAAAAATTAAATATCAGGATTTGGAAGGAAAGTCATTGGTCAATATATTTTTGAAAAAAAGTATCTATTTTTTTATGTTATATTTATTTTCATGGTTGTATCACATCGATATTTCCTCATTTAATTAGCTATGCTGTGACTCCAAACATATTAATTTACTGTTAATGTACTATATAGGTATATCTAACTTCAAGGTTACTTAAAATTATACAATTTTCTTTTTAAAACTGTACACAATATATTCTACCTGCTATACCTCAAATGGAACACGGAACGATGTGAGTTGTGAAATACTATGAGAATTTGGATACATGTGGGATCGCTTAAATCAGCCCCAAATCCATTAGCAAAATCCAATCACTGCTACCCACCATGAATGTTGAAAAATGATGGATTGGAAGGATGGAATCATAGTTTTTCACACACTTTATAAGCTGTGCTATATTATTAATAATAAAAATTGTTAGTCAAGAAATACAATATAGGTTGTTTAAAGTATGTTATGAAAATATTGATATTAATAATTTACAATTTTGTTAATTTTTATACCAGAACTTATGTTAAAAATTTAAATATTAATTAAAAGTAAAAACACTTATCAGTGGATTTATAATAAAAAAATTATTAAAAATTCCACAATTTCTTTTTTATTAATACAATATAAAATAAATTTAAGAATTAAATTAATGTTTACATTGATATATTACTAGCCTATAAATATAAAATAGGTGTTTTACCAACATTTCAATTTTATTTAAAAAAGTCATGACAAAAATTATCAATTATACATTAATAAAAATAATAAAGTTGCTAATTCCACCCTTCTGACTATCAACATAAGTTTAATAATGTTCAGAAATGATGTTTATTAATAATACAGAAAAAGGAATCATTTAGAAAATGGCCTGTGGGAGTGTAAATCAGTCAACCAGGGATTCTTGAAATAGTCTTCATTTTAAGCACTCCATTAGCTCTACTTCATCGTTCCACTGTTCTATTTGAAGTGAGTGTCAGTGACCCTCTTTAAATAAAAGCATACAATAATACCTATACTAATAATTTAACTATGTTCTATATGAAAAAAAAAAACAACTACAATGAGTTGTTAGTTTTCTTACATTTGCACAAAATAGAAAAATTGTTTTGCTTACAATATTCAGAGAGGTAAATTTCTTCAGGAGCATTAAATTTCATCTTGTATATTTTGACTACAAGGTACTTCCAATGTCTGTCTTCTAGATTTTTTAATGTAGATTCATCATTTCTGACTTCATATATTTTTATTTAATCTTGATCAAGTCAGTCTTCCTTGATTTTCTAATAAATATATGTATATATTTTATTGATTTTTGTTCAATGTATAAAAAGTTTTTTTCCTCAAAAACTTCAAGGTTTCAGACAATTTTTTTTATGTAAATATATTTTCATGGAAGTTCAATATATAAGAGGAGGAGGGTTCATCATTATTATTATCATCGTCTTTGATGATTCACTTGCTAATTAATATGAAAATAATTAAGTTAATCACAGGCCATTCCCATGAAATTCCAACTGTTATTAAAGTACAATACTTTGATTTTTTCTTTTTTTTTTTTTCAGAAACTAATTTAATCCTAGTGAAAGTATTTATGCAATTTTTCATAAATGCAACTTAATACCTATCAAAATAAACAACAAATCTGATCTAAAAATTAAAAGTTGTGATAATTAAAAGTTGGACAGGTATTGATTGTCTAGTCATTAATGATACTAATTTGAGCTATTCAATGTTTTTCAATATTGAATTCCATGCTCCCACATTGGAAGTGAGATTTTTGTGGATAAATCTAAAAACAAAGTCTTATTGTTCTCTATTTTGGCCTAACTACTGGATGTTTTTGGGATTGAATAAACGCTAATTTTATTGGTCTTCATTTGAAGTTGTCTGGTGAAAAAAATATTTAAATTTTTCTATTGTACAGTTAATTCGATTTAGATATACATAACCATTTACTTTCCTGTCATAAGACATTAGAATTATATAAATTCGTACTGGTACTTTTTATATCCAGGTTAATTGACATTTTTTTAAAGAATATTTAATAATAGTATTTTCACAATCAACTTGAAATTATAATTGTGAAGGAAATAGTACAATATAATTTTACATAAAGGATTAGTATGTTATTTAAAATGAATTAAATGGAAAGGGACTTGATAATTATGTGAAAAATATGTTACTGCCAATTTACTTATCAGATTCTAGGTGTTATGATTATTACAATAAATTATCTGATGTATGGCTTTAATAAATATTCTATGTTCCATGAATTAGTAATAAATGTTTTTTGAATGTTGTGAAACTGTTCCCACTTCTCTTTTCCTCTCTTTGATTAGAACACATTGATAGTAATTGTAGTTAACGGAGGATTAACGCACTTTTTGATGGACATTTTCATAATTGGGAAATACTTTATTGTAACTTATCTTAATTGTAACAAAGTACTCAAGTTGATTAATGAAAAACAAATGTGTGCAGTTGATTCTCATAATAGGAATGTAATTAAAATTAGAAAATATCCTGTAAATCAAGTAGCTCTATTTTTATTTTTTTTAATCCTTATTTTTAAAACTATTGACATTTATGTATATAAACATTGTCTTACACCCCTTGATTTTATAAAATAACTTTGAAAATCATATGTTCACATCCTCTGCAGGCCTTTCCTTTATATCAATATACCTAAGATTCTGTGCCTTTAATCTTGTTGAAGTAACATTAATTCTATAACAGATTGATTCGATACATTTATATCTGAGTTGTCCAATAGAAATGATTTATGGAGATAAACTACAGAATGATTTTTTCTGGTTATCAGAATTACTAATTTTATTTGCATATAAAATTTGAAAATGGTGTTTAAAGAATTAATCTAATTACATCAAGTTAAATCTTCTGAAGAGCCTCATAACAACACCAAGTGCTATGGAAACAGACTATAGCTGAAATATATACTTCAGCACATAGCAATTGTCCATATCATATTTGTTGACACATTTCTGTGGTGTCTCATAAGTAATGTCTTCACCTTTATTTTCTAGAAGATGGTTTTACCTTAAAAGAGTTTCAATTTTATGTACCTCCAAAATTTGTCTGATATTAACCATCGATGGTATAACACAATTTTACAAATTCAATCTATTGAACGTGTTTCTGTCAATAAGATTGTATGATTGCATAATTATTTATAATATATTGTTAAAAACATGATAATATAAGTTGATGTTGGTTAGCCTTTACTGAATATTTAAGTATAAATTTAGGCCCTAATTGGTGGTTACACATTTCAGCTATAGTCTATTGAAAGTCTTTATGAGACTGTTTTGCTGGATGAAAGACCTTGAGTAACAAGAAAGAGGACCAAATAAAGTGTTACAGGCTTATTCTCTTCCTCATGGTTGTCCTGCCTTGTTTTTGTAGTACTGTTTATGTGATCGCATTCACTGGTCAAATTAATAGAAACATAAGGAAAATAAATTAAATTGTAAGTGGCTCATCATTTTCTCAAATATAATGTACCTAGTTAAAACTGTAAAGATAATTTTGTTTTAATTTATTTTTTATTTGATTGATTTCTGAACAAGAAGATATCATTTTGTAATTTGTGCCTCTGTTTTATGATTCATTAAAATGACATGCTATTGGACTTGTATGGCTATTTTATTGCATTATTTAAGTGATAAAAGATGTTAATTGCCAATATAACTGTGTTATATTAAAATAGAATGTAAGTTGTTAATGTATTATTTATCTTGTAGACAAGTTAGGTTTGATGTAAATGTGGATGGCCTTTTTTTCCTTCCTCATTTTATATAAATTTGTTCTATCCTCAAATTGGTAGAGTCTTTACATACGCAAAATGAATTTCATAGTTTGAGATAGCTTTGCAAAAAATAAATTTGAAACAGCTATCTTACTTATAGATAATTTGTCACAAATAACATAATAATTAAAAATAAAAAATAAAAGATGACTGTTACAAAGTCCTGCTTTTTTCTATGCTCTACCAAATTTGTTAATGGAGAATATGGACCTGAATGGTCTTTTATTAATGTGTATATTTCTAATCTATGTATATTGCATTATAAATTGAAAATGGGACAGTATTACAGTATTAGTTTCCTATCCTTGTTTCTGTTCATTTCCTCGATCCCAAGACCCAGTTTAGGTATAATATTAGTTAAATTGGGTGTTCAATTTATCATATCGCAATGGATGTGTTAATGTATTGTGACCAAATATAAAAAATATATATATATATGTGTATTTTCAATTTTGTTAATATTTTATCCTTACATTTTATAATATGCTGTATTTTAGTTTTTAATGCCATCAAATTAATACTTACAAATAATATAAAAAATTAATAATATACACATGGAATATCTTTAACAAACCTGACATCATTCTTGACCAAAATCAAGTTCAATCTATTCGGGTTTAAGTGCTCCACTCTTGATGACAGACAGTTGAATGTTCAACGTGTTTTATTTTTACATAGCTCACACTCAACCTTCTTTTTTTCATATGATTCTACAACTTGTAAAATTCTGAAACACAAATTTTAATGTCTTTTTTATTGTAGATTATTATAACTTAATTATCTGAAAAATTAAGTTAGAGATGTACTCATTTTTTCCAGTTTTTCCACATACTATTTCATATTTTCTTAACTCATATTATAATAAAATATCAATAGAGAGCCATTTTGAGGCCCAATATTGTTTTAATGCACCTAGACATTCAATGCTGTCTGGTTTCAATTCTCCACATTTTTTTTTTAATTTGTCTCAGTGTGGCTATGCACATTTCTTCCATAAAACTACTTTGGTTTTCAAATATTCACTTTCTATTCTGTTTGTGTTTAAATATCCATTATACCAAAACTTTCATGAAGGAATGGGTAATATATATATGTATATATATATATATATATATATATATATATATATATATATATATTTCTTGGACATGACTCCGAAATGATGCATTTTATCGAAATTATTATTATATAATAAGTTTAAGAAGATAAAATTTGCTATAAATTTTATAAATACAATTTTATAACCCCATGTAAATTACAGATATATATATATATATATATATATATATATATATATATCTGTAATTTACATGGGGTTATAAAATTGTATTTATAAAATTTATAGCAAATTTTATCTTCTTAAACTTATTATATAATAATAATTTCGATAAAATGCATCATTTCGGAGTCATGTCCAAGAAACCAAAAAAAAGTTAGGAAATTTCACTAGTATATAGTATGTTTAGTATGTTTCTTGCATTTATTTCGGAACACAATGGAAAATTTAGTTCCACAACATCAAATTCAGATGCAGCATCCCAAAAAACATAAAAGACCTAAGAGAAACCAACCATTTGAATTTTTTCCTCATTCAACTACCTTCTGGCTGGCCTAATTTGATGACTTTGTCACGTCAGTTTTCGAAATTCAACAGAGTACATCGTCTGTTAAGGTGAATTCTCTTTTAGGAACATATTCTTGACATCTAAATGAACCATCAAATTTCGCCTCATTAATTTAATTTTTCTTATATAAAGCAATGGCTTTCAAGCGACTGACTGGAGTTGTGTATTCAGGTGAGGATTATATTTAAAATGGTTTCTAGCTGTAAATCCTTCCCTCAAATGAAAGCGGCGGTAGCTCCTAATCTATTAAGGAATCACTGAATTTCCGAAAACGGCTTCTCCCAGAGATTTTATTCTCATACAAAAAAATTTAGACCTTGTAATATAGATATTTTTTAGCCAACGAAAACGGTGAGGAAGCTATACTAATCTTACTTGTCAAACGTTCTTCTCTGTATTTCAGAATTCGAAAAGGATTTTCTTTAGATTCTGTAACTTTCTGTTCATATCTCAATTTACTCAAGGAATGTTATATTATGTTAGGCATATTTTTGTGGTGAATTTCAATCTTTAATTTCTTTCTTCATATATTAAAACCTTAACAAAGGTCTCCTTGACAAAGGGCCTTATAAAGGTCTTCTTAACAAATGTCACGCAAGTACAGGTCATCTTACTGAAGGTTACCTTAACAAAGCTCACCTTAGTAATGGCCTTCTTAATAAACGCCATCTTTACAAAAGTCACCTTGTCAAAGGATTAAAGGGCACTGTGGACTAGCGGGGAGTGAAAATTTTACTTTTACTACTAATTTTATTTTTTTATTTCCTGACATAGCTATTGACATATACATAACTATATAGCTATAGAGAGGTTCGAAGAAGAAAAAAGGACTTTCACGCTCACCTTAATATAGATCACCTCACAATCTCAACTTAGTAAAGGCCTCCTAAACGAAGATCTTCTCTGTAAAAGTATCCTTAACAAAAAGTCTTCTTAACAACTAGACAAATATCACCTTGATAAAGTGTACCTTAGTATAGTTCGTATTGATAAAAGTCTCTTTAACAAAGGTTATCTTAGTGGAGGCCTCCTTAGCAAAAATAACATTAACATAGGTTCTCTTACCAAAAGTTACTACAGTAAAGGTCGCCTTAACAAAAATAACCTTAATAGTTGTCTCCTTTACAAAGGTTACATTTGTAAAGGTGACAATGACAAAGGTAACATTAACAAGGGTCATCTTTTAGTTTTAGTTCAGGCCACTGTGGACTTGCAGGGAGTGAAAATTTAATTTTTTTACTTCCTGATATAGCCTACAGGGATTCCTGGTTATCTACAAACGTTACCACCATAAAGTTTACCTTAATAAAGGCCAACTTAACAAAGCTCACTTTGGTAAATGTGACCTTAATAAGTGTCTCATTATCAAAAGTAACCTTAATAAAAGTTACTTTAACCATGCTCACCTTAGTAAAGGTCTCTTTAAAATAGATCACATACAACATAGGTTTCCTCAATGAAGTTTTCCTTAACAAAGGTTAGCTTTTTTATTTTCACTTACCTATATATACCTGCCCTTTCCGCCCTCTGACCTATTATCTGCCATAGAAAAACTTCAAGAAGACTTAGATGGAATTTGTGGCTGGGCGAGAGCAAACAAGTTGAAGTTGAATGCGGATAAGACAAAGGCAATCTTAATAGGCTCCAATCACCTCCTTAAAACTGTTCTTAATATTTCAACTCTGTTCCTACACAATAATCCCATCAAATTTCACCCCACCGTCAAATATCTTTGAATAACCATTGGTCATACGCTTTCGTGGAAAAATCATATTTCCAATATTTTCCGCCGTACCATTTCCACCCTAAAACGTCTAAATTACTCCCGTCACCTATTTCCTTTTGAAGCCCGTAGGCTCCTAGTCACTTCCTTAATTTTTCCCCACTTTGGCTATTGGTGTACGGTATATAGGGGCCTCTCTGGGGATCTCGAGGCGAAACTAAAACGTTTGATAAATTGCTTTGTACGATTCATCTTCGGGATCACAAGGGATGCCTCTGTTTCCCGTTTTTATGCGGAGTTAAAATGGCTTTATCCTTCCTACCGTCGTAAGTATTTCCAAACATCCTTCCTCTTTCAAGTCATCTAATCCCACCGTCTCTCATACATCTCCGAGCTCCTTCAATTAAAATCCTCTGTTCGTTCCCGCAATACTCGTTCCCGGTCTTCTGATTTATACATAAGGGCTCACCGAACCGCTGCTTTCGACAAAACGTTCATTATCCGATCCTCATCCCTATGGAACTCCATCCCTTCCCACATCCGTCAATTCAATACCCTTCCTACCTTTAAATCCCGCCTGTTCAATCATATCTTATCCATCCAGTCCCCATAAAATTGTAAATAGATACTACTGTAAATATGTACATAAATTATTAGTTCGTTCTTCATTATTTTTACTCCATTTTTTTTATTATCAACTGATCAAAATTGGAAAGCAACTTATATGTATATGTGTATATATATATATATATATATATATATATATATATATATATATATATATATATATATATATATATATATAATTTATTTATTTATTTTTTGTTCACCAAGACTGTTCAATTACTCTGTAATTTTATTTATGTATCTCTGAGGCTCCTTAGTTCACATTTCTGTCTTCCTGTATTATTCTAAAGGGACTCGTCCCAGAATAAATAAAGTATTATTATTGTTATATATGAAATATATAGAATGGGAAAGTATTGCGATCGTGAAAATTTCTGAATTTGAATTTTCAAAGAAAAAAAACAGGTTTTGGGGCCCCCTGAGTCAAAATAACCAAGTTCCGCATTTTATATGCTCGGGATGTTACAGCAACTTTTTCGTCAAAATCGGCTAACTCTAAGTGGCACTTTATATCATGCACTAAACGCATTTTTACGATTATTCTCGGAAATAGCCCCAACGATTTTGATTAAATTCATTTATTCTGATTAATGTTTCCTAACAGAGCTAAAATGGCTAATTTTCGATATTAACTTCCTCTAAAGTACCATTAATTTTTATTATTTGAAACAATTGACCATTTCACATTGATCTATATTATAAAAGATAGATAAATATTAAATTTGAAAGAATTAGATAATTAACTAAAGGAGAAATAAGAGATCGCAATGGAGAATAGTTGTAATTGAGGAAACAAAGGAATACGAGCGCACCTGAACTCACCCAAGCTCGCCCGAAAGATTAGAACATGCTTTCACACGTAACATGAGCTTAATATAAGGACTCCAACAATTATTATGTAAATACACATATGCGTTTTTCATAAATGCTATTGTTGGTATTATTTAATATTTAATTGTATAGATTACAGCGATATAAATATTAATATATGTACATAAGGGTACATATACAAATTAAAATACCAACAATGAAATATAAATCAATATAGAGTTTATATTTTTTACTTTAACTTCTCCTTTGTCTGAAAATACTCATTTCTTCTAAGAAGATGGTGGTAAATGGAAGTTGTGTGATGCGCTCATATGGCCTCAAGTATGAGATCTTGGGACCAAGCTCTTCGGAAGGCTGGTAGACTTTAAGCAAACCACTAATTTTATTTGTTTGCATCCTGACATTGCCATCAACAGGAAGAACGACCTTAATAAAGGTAACCTTAACAAAGCTCACTTTGGTAAAGGTCTCCTTAATATAGATCACCTTTGTTAAGGTCACCTCAATAAAGGTCTCTTTAACAAAAATTACTTTTTTTAGAAAAATGTTTAATTTTTTGTTATTATTTGGAGAGCTGTACTCAAATATACACTCCAACAAAAAAAAAAAAAAAAAAAAAAAAAAAAAAAAAAAAAAAAAAAAAAAAAAAAAAAAAAAAAAAAAAAAAAAAAAAACAGCGCTGTTTAGATTTATGGCAAGAATAAAATTTTAAAGCACCGTACCATATCTCAAATTTGTCTCAGATTGATCTAACAGCAAGACGCGAGAGGTACAGCAGGTTAGTCTTGTTCTTGGCTTTGCTACAATGTTGGCAGCCTCGGTCTTGGCCCTGCAAAAATGCAAGACCTATTTTGGGAAACACTAGTATAAACCTCATCTTACAGTTTTTTATTTCATATTCTTTGTGTTTTTACATATTGTGTTTGCTTTCTTGTTTACTTTTTTTTTCTACTTATTTTTCTAAGGTCTAATTCAGATGACATTCTTATACCATGCTCTAGGTATTACTTCTTCTATGCATATCTATGCATTGCTTTTTTTGAACCCCCATCGCCGAACTTGAAATGCTTCGAATGTAAATTTTGAAGTAACTTTTTGTAACACGATTTATATTACAGCTTATGATAATAGTCCTCTGATATCTTGCCGAAAATAGAGAACTGCTGTATATTCCGCCAAAAAATCACAATCATGAGTTGAATAATTCCGAATATTCAGGACAAAGCCTCTAGCAAAAATCTAGAGAACCAAGGACAATTGTCGCCCTTGTATTCCACTACCATCCAATTATTGTTGCATTGAAGAGAGAGATAATTCGGTCTAGTATTTAGAATGTGCCAAAAGCTCCTTACAATAGTATTAATCATTAATTAAGCCCAGGCCTCTTGAGTAGTTCAAGTACCATACTGTGTCATCCACATCTCGAACCTAGTTAATGATAAAAGAGTAGCGAAGCTAAAATATTTTTGGGAATCTGTAGGGGACCCTACACGGTAATTCATGAATGAACGTCACAAGAAGTTCCAAGATTGCCCGCTATCGCTTTGATCATGAAGACCCTTACACGTTCAATCATTACTGATCATTACTTATGTGAAGTTTCCACTTTTTTTTCTCTCCAATTTATTGTCTACTTGACTATTTAAAGAAAAAATAGTTGAAAATGGTTAATAATAACATAGACTAGGGATATAAACAACTATTTACTTTTATGAAATTATTTACTTAATAACGAGACTTAGGTAAACTAACCTATCTAGTAGTAAGGTTAGTCTCATAGAAAATCGTTTTGACAAAAGTTAGTAAAATATAAGTCTACTACTTACAAAAATTAAGGAAAGGTATTGCGAAAATAATAAATTTGTTGAGGAAAATGGGAAAAGAACTGATAAATATACACAACGTTAAAGTTTTTTTTTCCTAAAGTAAATTGTGAAGTTTCCTCATTTTTTTTTTTAATTTGTTGCCCACTTGACTATTTAAAAGAAATAGTTGAAGATGGTTTAAAATTATAAACAAGGGATATGAAAAATTATTTAACTATTTACATATAATGAAAATCAGAAATTTATAATGGTTGTGAGGCCAAGGTAACCTAACCTATCACTTCTCGTGAATGAACCTTTGATTTCCGGATGTTCGGAAATCCGCAGCGCACCACCATCAGTACTTCATTCACTACCTTACACGACAATTCGGAACGTCATTAGTGATGTACTGTCTTGGCAGAGAATTATGTTCTATTATTCAGCTGTTTATTGTGTGGCAGGTATTGGGGGGAAATTTAATATCATTCAAATCTTAATTATTATTAACAATATAAGAGAAGCTTTATGTATTTTCCAATGAATACATTGGATGGAATGCATTCAGTTTACAATAATTACCCTTTATTAATACGAATTAAAGTTTCGTTTGAACTCATCTTAATTAGTTTGAACCAATTTTTCCTGAACAACAGACATATGTTCCTCAAAATCAAATCTTAATTTTTTTTTTCAATGATAATTAAATTGATTCTAAATTATTTCTTTTCAATACTCCAATAAACTTGAACAATATTTAAGCTGTTGATAATAATGATAGTAGTATACTACTCAGGCTTCCTTCAAATATCATATGGATTACAAAATCGTTTCGTTAAATTTTATATAATTATAAAAAAATGAAAACATTTATTCGAAATTTTTTTGTAACCAAGTTTCGCTTTGATATGATAAGAGCTTGATTATGTACGATCGGTTGTGTTTTTGTATTGAAATAGAAGTGCATTCGTAATTTAAAGCTTCATGTGGCAATCGGGGAATAAAATAAAAGAACGAAAATTATGAGAACAGGCCTGATTTTGAGGTAAAAGTTAGTGAAAGCCATGAGGAAGGCAATGCTATTAAGTTAATGACACACATGTAGATGTATATTGTCATGGATATATTATACTTTTTCACTTAGTTTTTTTAATGTGTTTTGGGTAATGTGGTACATCAAGTTTTGGAGACAAAGTTTTTCGAAGGATAGGGTAAATTGGCATTTCGACAAAATGATCTTTTTGCATCTAATTAATTAATTTCATTAGTGGTTTTGTTAATTTCATTAGCTACTTAGAAAAGTGGTAGTTAGTTTATGAAATCATCTTTGTTTAATTGGCTCCTGTTTCGGATCTCCGTCCAAAATCTTCAGTTTCTTCTAAAAAGTACATATTGGCCTGTTTTCCATTTCATATAATGCTTACAACTGAAAAATAAAGCGGGGCCTTTAGTTTATCTCTGAGATCTAGTTTAGATGTTACAATCTCGTTAATGCCTATTCTGACTTTTTGATATATATAACTGTATAATTGTATATAACATAAAATTCAAAAATATATGCATGAGATGCGAGTTATTGTTGATGTTAATGATTGAGTTGTTACCTTCCCCATGGCACTAACCTCTTATCTAATATTAGTTTTATCAACAACTTATCAAACCTATATTTTGTATCTATTCTTGTTAGTCGTTGAAAACACATCTCCGGTGGCGCTGACGTGGTCCAGAGAAGAACAGCTTTTATTATGTGAGCAAATTTTCCTATTAATATACTTAGCGTGACACACCTTCGATTTGGGTCCTCGACTCTGTTTTATGGTTCTATGCTCTTGGTGGTTCTACACAGTTTGAACTTGCTCGTGTGGTGGTAGACAAAATCATTACCTATTGTGACATATATAGTTTGATTGTGATATATACATAGTTTTACTTCTGAACATTAATTATCGGTATCATTAAATGAATGAGCCCCTCCTATCAATTTTTTATTTTTTTTTTTTTTTTTGTCCTCCCCTTTATTTCATTTTAGGCTGCAAGCGGTTTTCCCGAGCCATGGAAGAGGGCTGGATTATGCTGAGCTAAAAATCCCATCGGGCACTTGAACGGACATTTGAACTTATAAAAATTATTTTTTTCTACAAATTCTCAGAATGATAACTGATCTAACTTTTGAACCGTTTAAGATAAACTAGTAAAATAACATGTATTCTTCAAGAAAAATCAACTATCGTAAAATCGTAAAAAGAACTAATCAAAAGTTAGCTAGTTAAATACACTAAAAAACATCAGGTAAAAACAATTTTTTCGACATTAGCGATAGCTGAGGACGAATATCTTGGAAACTAATATATAATCAAGAGCAGGTAACGAAAACATATTCATAATCACTCAGATTGTAAATTTTGTCAGCTTTAATTTTGTATAGAACGTGTTTGTAGATGCGAAGGATAATTTTCCTGATTTAAGCGAAAACTCGAAAAACAGCAATAAACACGAGACAAAACTTTTTTTTTTTTTTTTCAAAATTAGCCATATTTGATGACGGATATCTCAGAAACTAAGTGAGAAAGTGAAAAAAAGTATATAACCAGTCATATTGAAAATTTTATCAGCTTTAATTTTGTATAAAACATGTTTGTCGATGCGATTGCTAGTTTTCCTGATATAAGCGAAAACCCGAAAAAAGTGACCTACTAAGCGCCTCTCCACATATGTTCCACCGCACAGGAGTTAGAAACAATGTCCCAAAGTCAAAAATTGTCTCGCCGCCATTTCTTTCTATAATCATTCATTGACTGGACTACTAGTGATATGGTAGTTGAATTGAGCATTGAGAAAGTACTCAGAGGATTTTGCTTATTTCTTTTAATAATTAAAATTACAACAAGCCAGAGGTGCCCATGAGGGGTGCAAGGTGGGCCCACAAAATTTTTGAGGAGGGCACATTTTGACGAGATTTTGAGTATTTGAGGAGAGCACATTTCGATGGGGTTTACAATTTTTAAAATGAAAAGTTTTAAAACAGGGGATAAGAGGAACGCATAGAAAGTGTAATTGTATATGGCCTATGATTTTTAAAATTCTACTTTAGCTTGAATTGTTATTAAGAAGAGGAGAGCAATAAAATATCTTGGGAGGATGGGAATGTGCCATCGACCTTGGGGGAATTTTTCGACCATTGTTACCAAGATTGATAAACATTAAATAATCTGTGCATTCTCTGCATACAGAATTCAACTATCCGAAGTACTTTATTATAACTCAAGAAATTGTAATAATCTCTTTTAGACAGTAGTCAACGATCTTTCATAAAGCTACTGAAAACGCCTCGTTGGGAGAGAAAAAAAAATGTGATTTTAAAAAAAAATCCATCAATTTATTTTATATATATAAAAATAGGATTGTCACAATTAATTAACTTTTTCAGAAGCGAAATTACAAAGAGTTCATAAAAAGGCATCAAGATGCTCGATTTAAACCATAAATACGAAGGTTTTGGAAATCAAGCATTTCAAAAGAGAACCAAATCGTCTATGTTTCCAAGGTAAGTAAGCATTAATTTCTGGGTAATACTAATGTACTTTCGCAAAACATTTTTTTAAATACATTGGAAACTTTAAAAAAATATATTTTTAGCCCTCCGAAAAACATATCGCTACTATTAGTGCAAAAAGTCGTATTGAACAAATTCACAATTTTATTCTCTTTGTGCTAAAGGTGACAATTTATAATCTGCAACTGCTATAAGTATTCTACTGAATATGAAAATAGCAGAGGCAAATGAAAAACTAATTTTTTACATACAATCTTTTGCACTAGCAGTTGCGAAAAGGCAGTGTTCCTTAGAATAAACTTTTGAAGACTTCGTATTCAATAAAAAATAAGTAAGTGCCTTATAAATGCAATAAACAGTTTGCATATACGTTTAAACATGTACGATTGATCTATAGTCCTGGTGCCAGGGCCCAAAAATCTACCTGATCGCAGGCGTAGGTTTGAATGTAAATTACGAAAGTGTATGTTATTCTGAGTAAAAAGAACCTTGTCTGCCGTTCCAGAGTCGTTGCATTAAAAAATGGAGGTTGATTTAGGGAATATTAGACCAGAAACTAAAGGATCGAAACGAGAAATCCATTTCGATTTTTTAACTTGTACATATGGGTTTAGACATGTAAATAACAAAATGGCTAACGCGGCCCACCAAGGTAAAGCTTTTTGGAGCCAAAAAAGTCAGATTTTTTCGATATTTTTTTTTGTTTTTCCCCTATGACTCTTAAACGATGAATCAAAGCAAAAAATGTATTATTTAATAGATTAAAGACCGTTAAATGTTGCATGAACTTTATCGTAATGGAATCGAATGATTACATAAACTTTATAATTTGGTAAAACGGTAAGGTATAAAACCAAGGTCAATCAACGCCGATTTTTACCAAATTTGTCGAAAACCGAGACTATAACATATACAAAATAAACAGAAAATAAATAAATAGAAACAAATTACTATAAATGCTCCTGCAACTTGAAATGAGTTGCCTAAATGGAAAACCTATAGAATCAAAGTTGTAGAGCATCAAATTTTGCGTCCAGTGAGTACTAACTAATTTAATGTAGGTCATTTACTCCGAACAAATTCGGTAATCTCCCGATGGGTAGAAATAAATACTGAAGGTAAACGTGATTTTCAATATTTCAACAGTATGGGTGTCTATTCTATTGAGGCATTTTTGTTCAAGGATGCCTCTTTTCCACCTCTCAACAGAAAAGGATTTTGATAAACGATGTGTCGAAAGATGCCGAATTTTATAAAGGAATAACGAATTCGAGATATATAATTGGCCAACAATAAAAATGTCAGCACTTAGTGAGCGCAAAATTTGTTTTGGGTTTTTCTCTTAGGGAACCTATTTCCATGTTACAGGGCCATTTATAGTAATATGTCTCAGTTTTTGACAAATTTGGTAAAAATCAGCGTTGGTTGACCGAGGTTTTATACCTTACCTCGTTACCAACTTATAAAGTTTATGTACTCGCTCGATGCAAAATTTAACTTTCTTCAATTTATTAAAGAGTGCATTTTTCGCTTTGATGCATCGTTCAGGAGTTATAGGTGAAAAAAATAAAAAAATATCAGAAAAAATTGACTTTTTTGGCTGTAAACAGTTTTCTCTTGGTGACCCGTGTTAGCAATTTTGTTTTTTACATGTCTAAACCCACATAAATAAGATTTTTTTTTTTTATTAACAAAATTTACAACTATAATTAATAATAAATACAACAAGTAAATATGAACAAGTAATATGACATATACAACATGAAGAGAAACTACCCATTGGTAGCACTCCAATTATATTTCTATATTAGAAGGTCCCGAGGCCATCTTCTTTTCAGACGCCTCGGAGGGTTATCAGGAATAGAAGAGGAAACAAGGTTGGAAACGAGAGGGTTCGGATGGTTCAGAAGTTTATTATGAAAGGACAGGTATCTGGATTGAGCTAAATCGGAAACATATGGTACATTAAGGTCATTATGGATGATTTTATTTGTGACAAAGTAGGAAGCATTAAGGATTTTACGAAGGATTTTGGATCGTAGGGATTGGATACGAGAGGAATTTGATGGTTTAGTAGAGCCCCAAAGCTCGATCCCGTAAGTCCAAATAGGCCTTATTACAGTAATATATATGAGTCTTTTGTAAATAGTTGGCAGTTTAGAGAGTTTGTCTAGTAAGTGCTGGAGTATTCGGAAACGTCTGGCGGTTTCTAGTCGTTTCAGTCTGGTCTGGGGGTTCCAAATGAGTCGTTTGTCAAGGTGGAGTTCTAGGTATCGGATATGGTCAACAGGGATAAGTGGGATATATAAGAAAAAAAAAATAAAAACATTTCACAGCTTTTCCGCAATGGATTTCCCGTTTCGATCCTCAAATTACTGGCCTAATGTTCTTTAAATCAGCCGCTATTTTTTAAAGCAGCGACTCTGAAACGGCAGCTATGGTTATTTTTACTTAGAATAACGTACACTTTCGTAATTTACAATCAAACCTTGGCCTGCGATCAGATCGATTTTTGGGCTACTAGTATTCCCTCCACTACCACATGATGCCACTTTGGTGGAGCTAACCCCAAGCCAATACGTATTTAATCCATTCAATGAATGATTATAGGAGGAAATGAAAGGGACCCCATTTTTTTAATTCGGGCTACTTAGGAGGTAAACATATTATAGAAGGAAATGGAAGGGACGCAATTTTATTTTCACTTAACTAGCTTTACCCGGCCACGCGCTGCTGTGGCTGTCTGGCTAAATGGAAAAGAAAGAAAATAGAAAGCACATATGAGTGGATTAATACCAAAGGATATCTGCCATTTTTAAAAAGTTGCGAAACAAATTTTTCTGTAAAATGGCTTCAATTTAAACTAATTCTAATGATTTTTTTTTCATGATTCAACTTGAACATTCTTAATCATCAGAGTGAACACGCCGTCATTCTTAACCATCAAAAACAGTCTCGAGTTGAACTTATAAAACTAAAATTGACTTTTTGGAATCAACTTACTCACTGGCTGTATAGATATAACTTTTCCAACTGCAAATATCTCTAAAATGACAAAACTGAAAAATGTTGAAATTGGAGTTAGTCATTCTGCCAACTGAAAGGCTCAGATACTGAAGTTGTGTGGTTTGTATGATGGAGTAACGAGATTTTTATTGCCTACCGTCAAAGTAATAAGTAAACATTTTGTAATTTTAATGCTCTCAATTATTTATCATCCGTAAGCTTTAAGCTATAGCTCCGACTAAAATGCACTTTAAAAATTTTATAATAGCCCAACATTGCCAGAAAATGATCTCTATTCAAAGTAGAGCAGTAAGTGAAAGTTGCGTGTTGCGTACACCAGATTTTTTGACTTTTTGCTTGTTAGGAGGTAAACATATTAAAAGTTCCTCACTCCTGGGAGGTGAGTAGGATGGGAGGAGTGGGCAACCAGGTTATGTTTTTCGGTTTGGTGCTTATATCACTGAAACCACCCATCGTAGCGATAAAGACGTTCTATACAAAATTAAAGATGATATAATTTGCAGCAATATTTATTATATTTATTTTTATCCTATCTCGCTTAGTTTCCGAACTACGCCTTCTTAATAATAGGCATTTTTGAACAACAAAAAACAATTTTTTGCCATATGTTTCATTGTCGTTTTACTTTTTACTGTTTTTTTAAACGAAAAAGTCATTGAAAAGAAAGTTGTTGAACATTAAATTTTTGTCAAGAATCATTATATTAATAGGAAAATGCAAAACGGTTCAGCCCCATTTTCTCCCCTGAACCGATTTTTTTTTTTTTTTTGTTTAGCAGCTATTGACGAGCTCTACTGTTATAAATAATAAAATAAAAATTGGAAATAGAGTATAAAAATAAGAAAATAAATGTTAGTTTGTTTCGAAGGCAGTGGATCAACTGATGCGAAAGGTTGTGTTTCTACCTTGTCTCTCAGAATTTGCTTATTTTCCAGCTTAATCTTTGAGATTATTCATTCAAAACAGGTCAAGGGTACATAAGAACAATTGATATTTACTGTTTGATGTTATAAATTATAGATTTTTTAAATATTATTTCTTTTATGCGACATCACCATCAGGCCATGTCTAGCAGAGCGTCTATCAAGAGAATTCGGCCGTTGAGCTCGACACCTTGTTCTTCGCCTGTCAAATAAAGGGCTCTTCAATCTCGTAAAACACCTGCATTAACCCTTGTTAGCTCCGTAGAAAATGAAACCCATCTAGGCACATCATCAAAACAAACAATTGAAGAACCTCAGCATCAACTAGATACATCTTCTCAAGAGATAACCGAACAATCTCCATTTTTCACTCCCAACCCCTATCAGTCGCTTCAGAATGATAAAGAAGCGAGAGTCCGCTCCGATACCAAGAGGCCCCCGACCCCCACCGATATTCGTTAAAACATAAAAAAATGTCAGTTACTATGCTCTCAACTGAGCAAAATAACAAGCTCTGGAAGCTATTCATGTCTAAGCAGAACAAAGGATATGAAGATATCACCAGATACAGCTGAAATCTATAGAAAAATTTTAAAATGTCTCACAGAAACCAAAGCGGATTTTTATACGTATCAATTACGGCAAGAGCGAGCTTTAAGAGTAGTTACAAGAAATCTACACCCGTCAACACAACCCGAAGCAACATAAGAAGAACTGATTTAAAGAACTAAAGAAAAATTTAGGTTTCATAGTGCGTCAGATTACAAATGTTCTGAAAGAGAGTAAAGAACAGCCAGGAGTAAAAGTTTCTCTACCCTCATTTTTCGTAGATTTGGAGCCATCTCAACGGATCGAAACAATATAAGAAATAAGATAAATATAATATACAAGTGTTACAGTAGAGAAGCCATATCCTAAGTGGGAAATCGTACAGTGCCACAATTGCCAGGCATATGGCCATTCCAAGAATTACTGTCATCATCTGCCGCATTGTGTGAAATGTGAAGAGCAGCACAAATCCGGTGAGTGCACAAAACCGAA